ATATTTTTTAATATGCCAATAAAATGTTTAGGTAAAAGAAATAAGATGACGCGTTAGTGTTTTGTATGTATTAACTGATTTTCACCAAGGGCATTGTATTACATGCAGTTTGAAACTTTTTAATACGCCCCCATTAAAGTAGGGTGAGTCCGGGAGAGGTGAGGTGAGATGTTGCAAGCCAGATGTTCCAGAAGTTCCTTAATTCTGTGTAAAAAATTACTAGAATCATGATTAGTTTCTATTATTATCGTAGGTTTTTTTATGGAATGATTAATAAGTAACGATAGCTATTATAATCACGAGAAAAATTCGATTGGATTCACGAAATTTTATAATCTTGAGATAAGTACTAGATATGAGGATAAACAAAAAAAAATACTATTTAGTCATAAAACCTTCAGTTCACAAAAAAGTAAGAAGATGTGGGTACATGGGTGGTTATATTTGTATTTAAATATTTTTTCTGCGCTGATTTCGGCGGAAGTGATCACATTAATCAATGGAGACAATATTACATGCGTACTTACAGAAGAAGATGTTTATTCTGCTCTCTACATCTGGCCAGTGGAATCAGATATAAGTATGTAAACATTTGTAATCACTTGAATGTGTGATATGAAAGAAATTTTTAGCAATAAAAAGAGATCAAACTGCTGAATTAAACGACTGGGATGTCGATGATTGGACTAATTATAATTCTACAGAATTAGATTACCCACCTATTTCCGATATTGGATGGAACAGTATGTAGCAAAGATACACTTCTGAGTAATAACATTATTAAATGTTTAGGTTTCAAAATTCCTAGTAATTTACCCTTACGTTTGAATAACACTTTCTTCTTTTGCCATAAGGATCCAGTGAACGTTACTATACAAAGCAAGAATTTTGAAAAAAATGGCGGCTTGAATCTTTCTCACTACGTAAATATATAAAATACAGGGTGATTGTAAATGATTATGACAGTAGACACTAGATTATGCCGCCCTAGATATGAGGATAAACAAAAAAAATACTATTTAGTCATAAAACCTTCAGTTCACAAAAAAGTAAGAAAATGTGGGTACATGGGTGGTTATATTTGTATAGCTTGTTCCAAATCTGGTGGCGAACTGACGTTGTCAAAAATGACTGAATATTGACACTAAACGTATGTTTACTATTAAAAAAAAATATTGTTCATAGGCGTCGTATGAAATAATATTTCAAAACCACTGTCATTCTTTAAAAAAATATAATAAGTAGGTACTCGTACATAAGATGAAGAATGATGAACAAATTATTAAATTGTTAACGCATGAAAAGAATTTTCAAAAATGATATTCCTAACAATCTTTGTCTTCAAAATTTTTAGAGAAAAAAAGTACGCCCATGTATTTTTTTATCTTAACCAAGTGGGCGCACTCCAAATGTCTTTTCTGTCACTGTCAGTTCGCCACCAGATATGGAATAAGCTCTATTTAAATGATTATGACAGTAGACACTAGATTATGCCGCCCTCGCGGACAATTTTGTTTTTTTTTTTGATAATTACCTATAAAAGTCTGACGTTTGTATTACTGAGATTACAGTGGCTAACATGACGACAAAAATCGCAATCATTTACACATACCTCATATAAATGTTAATGAAAAATGATTTTTTTTTAGAAAACAAATAACAATTTTTGTGAGTGGTACTACTTAGCAATCAATATTAGCAAAAATAGTTCTTTTGTTAAGCCCATATCAGGTCAGGTAATAACAAAGTCAAAAGTTATTGAATTTTTTGGTACTAATTTTCTGTCATCGCAAACATCGATACGATTATTCAGTTAGTTATTTAATGGAAATCCCGATGAATCTGGTAAAAACTTTCCGGTGGGTTCATAAGGAGATGGAGGACAAATGAATCTGTTTTTTAGGTAGATCATGAACTTAGCAAGCAATTTGTATATTTTCAGGACCACCATAAAGGCATTTTTGTATTTTTCAATTTAAAATCACTAACTGAACAACGTTCGATGTTTGTAGACAGAAAAAAATAGTACCAAAAAAATTCACTAGCCTCAGAGTAATATTAAATTCCTCAAGGATTTGGAGAGGACGGAAATAAACGAAATAAACTTTGAAGCGAAGTGGATTTTGTTCTCTAGTGATACCTATGTTAAAATCAACAAATGTAAGATTTTACTATTCGGTAATTAAATTTTTATTTTTACGTTTGTAGATGCTATCAAATATTCCAATAATATTACAACAGAAAAAAAATCTTCCATTAAATTGCCACAGTCTTCAAATCGGTGCATTTCTCTCTTTGTGTCAGTAGACGAAGACTGTTACTTAAATATAACATTAAATTCTAATATAACACAAATTAAAGGGTTTAACAAAAAAGATATGAAATACTGGAAGCAAATCGAAATCACGTCAGACAAGGTAAAGTCATCAGGAATGTTGTCATTCCATCGAGGACGATACGATAATAAGACAACTGGCTATTGGGCAGTTAGTAACATCAAAACCTGCCGACCAAAACCTGGTAACAAATATAAAAAAATGTATCAATTTTATGAAAAACTGTTCGTAGAGGTCGTCAAAACGACAATAACTTCACAGAATAGAACAAATGGAAATGACAGATACCTTTGCAAGACCTTAAATCCCAGTAAATCCCCCAAATTTTGTGACCAAGAAGGTCTGATTGGAAGTAGCTGTGCTGTAAATTGCTCGGAAGCATTAGGAGATTTTTACAAGTCTTGTCAAAATCATAAAATTTGCCTAGAAGATGGGACTTGTTCATGTGCTTTGGGATACAAAGGACCATCTTGCAATAAAAGTATGTATGTCCTTGGGAAAACATATTTGGTTAAAATAAAAAATTTAGCTTGTGAAGGAAATGAATGGGGATTGAACTGTAGCAAAAATTGCAACGCGATCAATTGTAAAACATGTGACATAAACGGTTGCACAAAATGCCAATCAAGGTATTTGTATAACAACAATAACTGTATTGGTATGTCAATTTAACTTAAACATGTACAACAAATAACTATTATTTTAAGAAAAACTACCTGTTGTTTTCGAGGCACCTCGACTGTTATCTATACGAGAAAATTCATTAAAAATCTCTTTGAATCTCACGTACAATAAGAAAAACGAAGCAACACCTCAATTTTATCAAATTCAGTATAAACAAGTTGTACATTTATAAGAAAACGTAAGATAATTTCATTGTCACTATTTTAGACCAACGAAAATTACTTCAAAACCAAACCAAAATCGTTCTTTGACAATATTGAAGAAAGTTACGTAATTGAAGATGTGGACACAACAAGATGGGAATACCAAATTAGAGTCATATTGCTGACAAAAAATAATCAGTCTTTTATGGAAAATATTCCAGAATTAAGAACCTTCAAAAGTGAGTTTCAGGTTTTAATACATCCTCGTTATAAATTATATTTTAGAAAGTTTAAATATGAGTGCTAATAAAGATTTAACATTATTATGGGACCCCTACAGGAATATGATTGGTTATGTATTAAAATATGAGGTAAGAAACTTGTTATTGTTCAATTAGCGCTAAAAAAATTTGATAACATTGCAGGGGACTCAAGGATTTTGTTCTAATTCTACCAAGAAGGACAATTTTATCGAAACAAACAATACCTCAGCAACAATAAGTAATATTACGAACTACTTATTTATAAATGTAAAGTTATTTGGATTGGAAAAGGAGAGCAATAAAACCCAATTATTAGATGAAATTACTTATAGTATAATAAAAAAACAAAAGTAGGTTGAAATAAAAAATGTTAATGTTACAGAAAGGAGAGATAGTTGTGGAAATAAGACATTAGAAGGAACATCCGTAGTAACAGTGGTTGCGGTAACGGCTGTCCTCTTTGTTGTTGCTTTAGTTTTAGCACTTATTTATTATAATTATATACCGCTAAAATTCTTCAGAAGACAAAACAGACATAGAAATAGAAGCATGTTTTTTGTGGCCCGAAAAAATATAAAATCTGAATCTTTTGAACTCCACGAACTGACTCCGATGATCACTCAAAATGCCGAGAAAGACTGTTCCATAAGAATTAACGAATTTGAGGATTACCTGTTCAAAAATCTCGAAGACAATCCTGATGATAACGAAATAACACGACAATATCAGGTACATTGACTTTTTTAAGTAACAACAATTTTATATTTTTTCAGGCAATAAGAGTGCCCCTGAAAGAGCAACTTTGCGCACGTAAAGCTGAAAATGCCAGGAAAAATCGCTACACCTCTATCCTACCTTGTAAAAATCAAATTTTAACCGATTTAAAGAGTAATTTCAGTTTTTAGACGATGAAACAAGAGTCATTCTGAGAGAGAGTGAAGGTGGAAACGATTACATAAATGCAAACTTCATCGATGTTAGTAAAAATTAAACTTTACCCTGACATTTTAACTGGTTTCTTGCAGGGATATGAGACTCCTAAAGCGTTCATTGCAGCCCAAGCACCCATACCAAGCACTGTTGAAGACTTTTGGCAAATGATTTGCGAACAAAATGTGTCAGTTGTAATCATGCTGACGGAGTTAAGAGAAAATGGTCTGATTAAATGTGAGCAATATTGGCCAGATTTCCAGTCGAGATGCAGATTTGGAAAAATTTCTTTGGAAAATATATCGACTAAAACTTACCCTCACTACATTCGGCGTGAACTCAAAATTCACTATTGCAGTAAAATCTATTTTGTTCAGCATTTACAGTATGTGACATGGCCCGATCATGGTGTTCCCCTGTGTCGTCAAAGTTTCACCAGCTTCCTTAAAGAAATCACAGAAATTCCACAAACCTCCCCAATGGTGGTTCATTGCAGGTGCGTAAATGGTACCCAATGGGTTATTTAATGAGAAATATTTTAGTGCGGGATGTGGCAGAACGGGTACTTTTATTCTATGTGACATTGCTATAAAAATGGCTAAAAAGGAAAATGAAGTCAACTTTTTCAAATTATTGAGACGCATGAGGGAGCAAAGACCTTTGGTTGTCACAAATGTGGATCAATACATTTTTGCACATTTCGTAATTCTAGATTATTTTTGTGGAAAGGATTTTTCTATTCCCACTACGGCCAATTTTAAAAATGAAGTACAAATTGCTATTCAAGAAGATGCTTTAAATAATCTCGCAGGTCAAGTAGATAAAGCTTTGAAACAATATTTAAGAACAAAATTTAAACTTAACTACCAGTTGACTGATGACGAAAAAGCAAAAAATCGCTTTTCTGATATCCTACCAGGTATTCTTGAGATCATGTATTTTTAATTTGGCTCTAAATGGACTTAATATTTAGGACACTCCCAAATTTTTCTATCGGTGTCTTCGCAAAACTCTTCGAATTACATCAATGCAGTCTCCGTAGATTGTTATCTCTATCCGAAAAAATTCATAGTAACACAACAACCACTACCAAATACACTTAAAGATTTTTGGAGACTAATTGTTGAGTATGAGATAAACACAATTGTATCTCTTAATGAAATAGAAGAGGACGATAAATGCCCCAGATTTTGGCCAAATAAAAGACAAGATGTGCGGGTGTATGACAATCTAAAAATCAGTCTTTTGGGAAAAACCACCCGACAAAACGTATTCCAAGTGATAAGAGTCAAAATTACTGACAATAACGACTCAGAGAAAAAAATTGTTACTGTTATCAACATGAAAGGTTGGAAGCGCGAAACATTGCAACCTGATAGTTTAAATAAATTGATTCTTGTTTGGAAGGAGATGATTTCAGACAGCGGGAAAATTGTTGTTACATGCTAGTAGGAAAAAATGAGTAAAATAATTATTTCAAATTCACTATAAAAATTTTCAGTGATGGTGCAACAGCAAGTGGACTATTTACAGCATTAGCTTACTTGCTTGAAAAAATAAATATGGACCACAGGTGTGATGTTTTTACCGCTGTCAAAACTGTCAAACAAAATCGGGTGCAGTTTCTTCAAAATCTTGTAAGAAAATTGTGGGTAGCTAAGGTGATAAAGGTGTATTTTTCAGGAACAAATAAAATTTTTGTATCAAGTCGCGCTGGAATACGTCGAAGAATTCAACACATACGGAAATTTTGTGGATTAATTGCGAGGATCAGCAATTTAGTTCTTGATTAGTTGTTTTTTACCACTTATTTATTGGCCTACTTATTGTTATTTCTAATGGCAAACTTTTCACTTTTGTGTCAAATACCTAGACGTATTTTTGAACTGTAAACTATAAAAAAACCACAAATAATATAATATACTAGATATTTATGGTCTTGAAGTTGAAGATTGATCTAGTAACAGAAGAATACAGAAATAGGGTAACAGAAAAAAAACTCTCAGAATTGTTATTATTAAGAATGTTATAACTCCAAAATATTGGTAGGTACAAGGTTTGAGGGTCACTGTAATTATTTATTTGTTAAGACAAAATTTCATTATTTTACGAAGGTTTGATTTGTTTTTCTTGATGTTTTTCCCAAATTTGCGGTTATGGATGGCAAATATTAAATAATAAATTGGATGTCGTGATTATGAAACACAAGGTAATGATACCAATGGCAATTTTTGTAGAGGAAGCAGCAGTTCTCAAACAAATAACAAATAAAATGAAGTATTTTCTTTCATAACGTGAATTTTTATGTTATATAGCGTATTAGTTTTCTTCTACAGTGCATATCATCTTTCTTAAATTTCAACCTCAAAATCATAAACACCCTGTATACTATTATGGAAAAGTCCACGATGTTTAAATAAAATTGTTAAGCAATTATTTTATTTAAAGGGAAAAAAGTGATGGCATCAAAAATAAAAACAAAGTTATAATTTATAATATAATAAATGAAGCAATTTACACAAACTTTTTGCTACAGATACAAGTTTTAGTCTCAGACAATATTTATCAGAAAAAAGTATAAAAATAATTCATTTATCAAGGTGTGACTAAGTAAAAAATCCCAAAAGTGTAAAATTTAATGCTATCTCGATTTCTTAATACCTTAAAAATAAAATTTTCTGATAACTTAAATGTTATGAACACTATTTGTCAACAATGAAGTAAAGCAAATACGGAAAATACTGATAAACTGTTTAAATTTATTTTATGAAATAAGGCACGAATCTACTTTAAAATGCGTCTGATGCATTTGCAAGTGTATGTGTGGTGTTTATTAATAAAAATATTTGTTAACTGTGAAATAATAACTCTAATTAATAGACAAAATGTAACATGTGTCACCACCGGCGAAGATGTTAATTCAACAATATATTTACATCCTGTAACAAACGGTAACACTAGTAACGTAAAATGTAACTTTTGTGTAATTTATTAGTTGTAGTACCCTTGAAAGATGTTACTTCCATTAAATCTCTAGAATATAAATTAGGAAACCTGCAAAGTATTAGAAAAAAAATAATAACGGACCAACGTTGGCAAGGTTCTCACTTTTCTAACTCTTTTTACAATACCAATAAGAGTTTTTTTTAGACTTTAAGGTCCAAAACAATAAATTAGAAATTGCTCCACCACAAGATGTTGCATTTTCGTTTAACGGAAAAGAAAATTTTATAGTTGTCATAAACAATAAACCAAGTGAAAAGGCTACAAGTAATGTATGTGTAAAATGGTGTCATTTTCAGTTGTCGATTGAAGACAACACTGTCAGAATAAAAGACCGTCAAAATAACAACATTTTCCTGAAAAAATCACCTGAAAATATTGAAAACATTACACTTACTTCACCCTCACCATCGTTCTGGAAATTACATAAATGTAAGACATTTTTCACTTTTTATAAAATTACCATTTGAAACATTTTCAGTCCATGTCAGAAAAATCAACAAACATTCAAAGATTACAATTTCGCACACAGGTCCTTTACGTTTATCTATGTTCGTATATTTAAATAAATATAGTAACTTGAATTTATATCTAATTTCAAACAATAAAACTACTCCAAGGAATATTAGTGGAAATAGAAAACCACAAGAATGGCAAAAGGTCGAAATGACAATTGAATCTGTTAACACCACAACTCTGCTTATAAAGCCATCAAAACTTGCAAAATGGGCGGTGGATAAAATAAATTTCTACCCAACAAATATTGGTAGGTGTCTACAAACATCAATTTTTTTGCAAAGTTTGCTCTTATTTTATTTTTTGAAGGAGTTTACAAAGCCACAAACATATCAACTACATCAAACCAAACTTACATTTGCAAAAAGCTGAGTAACTCCAGTAAGACGAAGATTTCGGACGCCCGAAAGTTAAATAATTGTAATCAAGGAAAATACATGTATTTGGGAAGTTCTTGTAACATTCCATGTGAAGACATTCTGGGAAAAGAATTTAAAAAATGTGAAGAGCATAAAATTTGCGAAGATACATGTTACTGTCCAGAAGGGTATACTGGTGACTACTGTGATGGTAACATTTTTATTAACATCAAATTTGAAGTACGTTTTATTATTTTAGAACAACTTAAAAATACTTTACAAATCAGGGAAGTCACAAGTAACAGTATTTCTTTATCTTGGATGGCACCTAAGATTCCAAAGACATACAAGTACATTTTAAAATATGAAGTATGTAATTTCTCACTCGAACGTAAAAATTTTAATTCAAAACTTGCAGTGTAAAAATTTTTTTTGTGCAAATAACAGGAACGAAGAAAAAAAAGTAGAAAACATCGCTGGTTACACAATCCAATATTTGAAACCATCCACAGAATGTTCGGTACAGTTATACAATTCCCACAAAAACCTTATTGCCAGTATAAGTGGCACGACTAAAAATACAGAAAAACAAATAACTGGGGAAGAGCTTCCAATCGAATTTCTGTTTTTAGAAAACCACCTTATTTTCCAGTTTGAACAATGTGATTATTTTTACGGTCCACTGAGTTTTAAATTCCGCTTTAAATGCGTTAGTCCATGGTGTAAAAAAGAAAACAGGAACATCACATTTAACATGACACAATACATTCAAAAGAAAATATATACTACTAAAAAATTCTTACCATTTACTGATTATCAATTGAAGGTAGATGCATCAAGATTTGATTCACACTTAACAAAAGAATATCCTATTCAAAAAACTGTACCAGGGAGTAAGTTTAACAAGTGTTAAAACAAATATAAAACAATATTTTTGCAGTACCCAAAAAAGTAAAAAATTTGAAAATCAATTGTCGCAATAGTACAACTGCAATGATAAGTTGGGAAGCCCCTGATCCGCCAACAGGAAAACTTTCACACTATGTTATTACGACTACAAGTGGTAAAAATGTAAACAAAAGTAATTCTATTGAAACTTCTGCTACTATAGAACATTTGCAAAGTGATACACAATACACCATCGAGGTAAAAAGTATTCACACCATAAGAACAAAAATGGTAACAGTATTACAGATTTCAGCTAAAAATCAGAACGTTGAGGAGAGCGGAGAACCAGAATCATTAACAATTCCAAAATTCGAAAGTGTGCTTCGTTTAGCTTGATAATCATTGATCTGACATAATTAATTGTAGGTTTCGAGAAACCCCAAAATCTGAGTTTTAAATTGCTTTCACGAAAAAAACTGCGTCTGACGTGGAATCATCCTATCATCAAAGATTTTTCTATCAGTGTGTTGGGAAAACACTCAGAAAATTTCCCAGTGATATCGGAAAAGTGCCAAAAAATGTATCAACACGAAGTATGGGCAATAAGAAAAAATAATACAACAATTATTGAAATTTAATTGCAGTTGCAGCTCGATTATGAAGACAATCACATAATAAATGTTTGGGGATTAGGAGCCCCACCCGAGAATAGAACTTACATTAACATTACAAGAAAATACGCGTACTTCGCTCCCCAACCTTTTTTAACGTTTTGTGTGGAAACAAAATGTTTACTACTTTTGGTACCAAAGCCGAAAGACGTTGATACAAATAGGTAAAATCATTTAAAATTCAACTATTTATTCACAATCACTGTAGTTCCTAACTTTTACATCCCGTGGTCGGCAAATAATTTATGAAGGATTATCAAGGTTACGAACCCATCAAATGTCAAAAACTCCTCTTTGACAGAAATTTAAAGAAATGTGATTGTGTATAAAATAGTATACAAAACCAAGATTTATAAAGTAAGAAGGTTGCCTCGTAACTTGAAGTGAGAGACTCTACAGAGCGAGTAAAATGGCTATATGGTGACGTCAATGGAGTGATGCTCGATCAAACGCTGGTTGCAGACTGTCGGATTTCAGATTTGTGTTATTATTATGTTGCATCTTGCATTATTTACCACACTTTCTTTCTAAATCTTGTGTAATCTTAACTTCATTAATCAATATTTCAAAAACTATGAGTCCTAGGTCAAAACGGTTTGTACAGGCGTATTTTCCAGTTAATTTTATATATAGTACTAGTTTTTTATAACAATTTTTTTTTTGATTTTTTGGTCATAATCCGATGTTTCGCTCCTTATTCTTAAATTTATTACTTAATACCTCAAAAACTATGCACCGTAGAATATTTTAACTTGTTGCATCGTGTTCAGCGTGTAATTTTACGTCCAGAAAACCACATTTCAAGCGTTTTTATGATTTAAGGTAAATTGATTATTTTAAAAATTTTACAAGGTACCGTTCACATTCAAAAGCTCGAAAAATTCGTAATTTTTTAAACTTGACCAAATAACGTTTTATGCATTTTTTTGAGTCTTTAGGACCTCTAGAAATGTAAAAAACGTTATATGGATCAATTGTAAAGTAGAATTTTTTTTGGATTTTTGTCAAGATTTTGGTCGATTTTTAGCATGGGGAGCGCTCTATAGCCAATAACTCCAGATTTATTGGTAATAACCTCTCAAATTTGTTAACACCCCCCCCCCGTTAAAAACCAGTGTTTTTGAACATATCTCAGATCCGATTTAAACCTATCTTATCAGATAGATTTTGACGCGCTAATTACGAATTTACCAACCACATTGGGCTATCTCCTTTAGTTTCGCCGTTATCGGTGTTTAAAAATTCAAAAATTTTTTGCGAGATATTGACTTGGCTTTACCGTCAGTCGATAGATTTTCTTACGGTGATTACGATGGTGTTGAGCTTTTTGCTCAAACCTTTTGGCCGTAACCGCCGTTCAAAAAGTAAAAATTGTCAAAATTGTGAAACTTTAACGCGTTTTTCTACGAAACTATAAAACTTAGGGCAAAATCTACATTAAATTATCTATTTATTGGACCAAATCCGGAGTCGCTCTGGATTATAGTTCCGGGTACAGAGCCATTTTTAGTTTTTTTCATAAAAAATTAATATCTCAAAAAATATGAGTCCTACATCAAAACGGTTTGTACAGGCGTGTTCTACGGTTAATTTTACATATCAACCTAGTTTTTCATAAGAATTAAAAAAATTTGTTTTTTTGGTCAAAATAGGATTATTGTAGCCTTATTCTTAACTTTATTACTCAATATCTCAATAACTATGCATCGGAGAGTGTTTTAACTTGTTGCATCGTGTTCAGCGCGTAATTTTACGTCTAGAAAACCATAAAAGCGTTTTTACAACTTAAGGTTATCGAGAAATTTTCTGATAAAAAAAAAACATAAATTAAAATATTGCAAGTTTTAACAAAATAAATTTATATTTTTTATCTATGTATATATTTTATTTATTTTATGCTTAATAAAAAATATTTTATTAGTATTTATTTTATGGAATTCAATGTTTTTAACTTAATAATATGTTTGGTTGCATATCCTAGTTTTGAACGATTACTCACTCAGTGACGTCAATTCGCGCGAATAATGCACACACGTGATTGGTGATGCAAAGTTACGAGGCTACCTTTTTACTTGATAAACTTGACACACACCTGGGTGGAAATGCCATTACCCCTTGGGCTCCATCCAATCATCTTTCGGGGTTATGACACATTTTCCATCTCACATATAATCTACTATTTCAGTAATTTTACTATTTTGATTAAAAACAAGCACAATGAAACGGACAAACGGCTTCTAACAGATTTAACATTAATTGAAGATTATTTTCACATAAAATTGGGAGATCAAGTAGTTTCCTTAGAAAATGAAACTTACAAGATGTCCCTAATAATTAACAACAAATCCGTTTACCCCTTCAGTGAACAAAAAATTCACATAGCCAGTCTTGCAGGCCAAATTGTCTTGTGTTTAGTCTCTCTTATAACAGTAATATTTGTATGTTACCTCTGCTATGCGTAAGTATTGTTGAGTTTGCATCATTTCGATAAAAACAGTCTCGTAGGTATAAACATGCAGTTTATCCTTTCGAACTCAATAATAAACCTCAGGATAATGAACAATGGACAATTATGGAATTTACAGAACAATATCGGACTAATAGTATTAAGCGAGTTCGTCCTAAATGCGACTCTCCTCCCAAAGTATCATTTAATACTATACTAACAAACAAAATTATTTAAATTTGATTCCAGGATGAAGAACTTGAGGTTTTAGCACCTAAAACTACCGTTAACATTAATGCTTTTGAAGACTACCTAATGGACTCTCTTGGCGATGACCCGAAGAATAATGACTTAACACACCAGTATAAGGTATGCTAAAAAAACTGTAACTTTAAATAAAAAAAAATATTATAAAGGCCATACCAAACCCAACAAAACCACGTACTGTGGCTCTTTTGAAGAGAAATGTTCCGAAAAACCGATACAAAAATATAATAGCATGTGAGTACAAAACTAACCAAGTCGATTTGTTAAATTATTTTTTATTAGTTGATGAGACTAGAGTGAAACTGAAAGACTGCTACGACTACGATTACATCAACGCAAGTTATGTGGACGTAAGTCTCGTGAGTGATATAAACCGGAAATGAGCCTTTTTTCAGGGGTATGAAGTCCCGAAGGCTTTTATCGCAACCCAAGCACCGATGGAGTCCACCACTGGCGAATTCTGGTGGATGGTTTGGCAAGAAAATGTCAAAACCATCATAATGCTCACGGAACTGGTTGAAAATAATGTCGAAAAATGTGCGCAGTATTGGCCAGAAATGGACTCAAAGATGCGCTGCGGGAAAATATTAATCGAAAATACAGATCAAAAAATTCACGCGGATTTTGTTCACCGGAAATTAACAGTGAGCTGTGATAAAGAAACAAGACTCATTGAGCATCTTCAGTTTACCACTTGGCCCGATCACCAAGTGCCTCTATACCCCCAGAATTTTACGGATTTTATGAAAAAAATGTTGGCGATTTCTCAAAACGACTGTCGGATTGTGGTGCACTGCAAGTAAGTATTAGTGTTAAAAAATGAAGTGATTTGTAACCCAAGTGTTCTAAGTGCCGGCTGTGGAAGGACCGGAACTTTGATTTTGTGCGATAGAGTTTTGCGAATGGCAGCGAAAGAAAAAAAGCTCGATTTTGTGAAAACATTAACCGAGATGAGACAACAGAGAACTTATTTGGTTTCCAATGTGGATCAGTACATTTTTGCCCATTTCATTGTTCTGGAGTGCCTTTTCGGAGTTGATTTTTCAATACCTATCAATGATTCGTTCCAAGATGAAGTAATGAAAGTGTTGAGGAAAACTACAGTGAAACCCGTAATGGAGCACTTGGATAAAGTAATAATGCAATTCAGAAAAAGACAATTAAAACTATCGACTTCTATTAATGAAAAAGATAAAAGTAAAAACAGATTTTCTGATATTCTACCGGGTGAGAAAAATATCATTTCAAGCCAGTTATTATAAGCTTCTTTTAGGAAACGCTAAAGTGCTTTTGCAAACTAGTCCAAAATGCCCTTCCAGTTATATAAATGCCGTAGTTGTGGACTGTTATCGCTGCCCACAAAAATTTATCGTTACACAACAGCCTCTCCCAAACACCCTTGATGATTTTTGGAGAATGATAAAATATCGTGAAATTAATACAATTGTTTCACTAAATGAAATCGATGGAAGCGATCCAGTAATCACAACACCTAATCAATATTTTCTTTAATTAATGTTTTTAGCGCTGTCCCAAGTTTTGGCCACTTGATAGCCACTCGACAAGACTGGAAGTTTTAGAAAACACCGACGAAAAAATCTATTCCATTATAAAATTAAAAATTACGAACAAAAGCAAAATTGAGGACAAACCCGACGTAAAAATTATCAATGTTTTAGAAATGAAAAACTGGAAACGAGAAACACCTCAACCTCGAAATCCGAAAGACTTAATTATAGTTTTGAAAGAGATGTTTAATAACTCATGGAAAGGCACTAGCCAGATTGTAGTCACTTGCTAGTAAGCAAACACAGAGTGATTTCTTAAACTTTTAATTATTTTAGTGACGGTGCCACCGCTAGTGGCCTGTTTGTCGCCTTGGCTTTTCTCCTTGAAAAAATAAACTATGAACAAAAATGCGATGTTTTTTCGGCTATTAGGACAGTGAGGCAAAGTCGAGAGCAATTTGTTCAGGAATGGGTATGCAACCCGTAATACACCTCCGTATTACGTGCTGCAGAAATACGACAATTTTCGAATATAATTTATTTTAGGGTCAACTTGAGTTTTTATACAAAGCTGCCAAAGTGTACATTGAGGAATTCGATAATTATGAGAACTTTCAGGACTAAACTAACGAACTATTCGCATATTGAGTTACTTCCGTTGGTAACCCAGTTATTTTTTTAACAGCTTCCGATATTTGATGGGGAAGGACCAGCAACTTAAAAAGTTGATATTCTTTTTGCACCCCAGAATTGCCAGTGGTTAACGCTGAGATCAACTCAAGGTTCTAAAAAATAGTTTAAGTTCTAACAATAAGATTATTTTACTCACCTGGATTTGCTCAAAAGCTTTCATTATTACAGGCCTTTCAACTGTTTGAATATTTGAGTTGGCATTTGCAAATTTTAAATATCTGTTAAACACCATTTCAAAATTCATAGGTTGATTGTCGTAAATTTCACAATGATGTTTCATAGTTATTATTAAACACAGTTCAAGCACGCTTAAGTCTTGCAGCACTTGGACTGTCTCATCTCTTTCAAACAATTCTACTTGCTTTAAAAACGTATCATACGACAATTTATTGTTATGATCATTAAGTTCAGACACTACAAGTAGCTGAAATAAATCGTTTAAATCATTGTCTTTACTTTGTCCAATCTTTACCAAAATATTTTTCAAACTCCTCTCACTTAAATCTAAATCCAAAAGTCTTTGCATGAGAGATTTAAAATTTCTGTTCTGCAGTAAAGTGTTAACACTTGAATTCCATTGTTTCCTAAACGCTGGAGTTATGTCTAAAGACTGGTGATTTGAAATCAAAAGAAATTTTTGTAACCGTTCCAATCTTTGATCTAAATGATTATCATTATCATTGCCCAAAAACAAAAAAATCTGTCTGTGGGAAAACCTGGATTTTACTCGTTTTTCCAATAATTCTATTACATCTAATCTACAAGTAATACCTGCGAAATTTCTAAATTAATTAGAATTTGGAAAAAGTAAATTACAACGTACCTAGGACACAAATTGGTGTTTGCGCTGATTGAGACACATCGAACAAATTATACAACAGAGTCTGATTGTGGTGTGAACAAAATAAATCAAATTCTTCAATGATGAAAATAATGCTCTTTGAAACGCCCCTTTCGCCTGACTTTAAACAGGCTAACAAAAACGTTAAATTGTCAGCAAAACTCCCAAAAACCTTGCCATCAACGGCATTTTCCAAATTCATCTGAGCTGTTATGCTTTTTAAAGCAATGCGATCGTCTGTGTGAATTAAACCATGCAATTTCACGAGAACTGCGTCTGATGAAAAAAACCGTTGCAAGTCCCCCAAAACATTGTTAACTAACTAATTAACAAAGCTATAAAATGTTTGCAACTGTGTTAGACACTCACTGTTGTTTTTCCTGAAGCACGGGGGCCTATGAGCAACGCCGAATTCGATTCACCTGAAGTTATTGTTCTGTGAAGTAAATCATACACTTGTTGGCGCTCATTTTCTTGTCCCATAAAATCAGTGTTGTTCAAGATGTTGTTTTTGAGAAATTTACGTAAATTGATTATGTTTTTGTCACTTAAGTTTTTCATTTTAAACACACTTGACACTTGTTGTCAACATGCAGAGTGACCAACATTAATGTTTTCCCGCGCCATGTCTTTTGTTAATTTTTCCCGAATTTGCCCAAAACCGAAATTGCTGTAAGCGATTTTTCGTGACTAGATTTATTAGATTTTTGTTACCGTTGCACAGATATTATGTCGTCAAAGTTGTAACAAAGGTTTGGTTAATTGGTTAGATAAAAATTTGGTTAAAAAAAATTCGGTTAGGCAGATTTTCACTTGCATTGCAATTAGGCGCCAACAAATGCCAGAAATAATTTCTTTGAAATTTTCAATGTGATAAGTGATAACAATTAAAACGTTTTTGAAATGCATAAGTAAAATTTTCTTATTTAATGATTAAACTACCAATTCTTAGACATTTTCTGATTAGTGTGGTGCATGAAAGTGAGGTTATAAAGTTTTTCTGCTGGAGTGATTAAAAATGCAACATCAACGTTTATCTCGTGAGTTAGCCAAAATATCAAACTCTCCCCCTGTGGGTATAAGTGTGTCATCAAAAGACGATAAGCTAAATGTGCTGGAAGCCCAAATTGTTGGCCCTGATAACACCCCATACAAAAATGGAATATTTAAATTGGAAATTTTAATTCCTGAGAAGTACCCTTTCATTCCACCTTCAATCAAATTTACTACAAAAGTGTATCATCCAAACATTGATGACAACGGAAGAATTTGTCTAGATTTAATAAAAATGCCACCAAAGGGCAACTGGAGGCCCACTATAGGATTAGAAGGTTTGTTAATAGCCATAAGAATGCTTTTAGAAACTCCAAATCCAGAGGATCCTTTGATGGCCGAAATCGCAGAAGAGTACAGAAACATGAATTCTGAATTTGTTAAAAAAGCACAATCATATACACAAAAATACGCTTCATAGTTTAATAAATAAATAAGTTTCCAGCTAAAATTTTATTGAGAAGCCCTCCTTTCAACTTCAACATTTTCAGTGCTTTTCAAATGAAGACTCCGCCTATTATCCTTCTTACTATTAACGCTGCTTTCATTCAAATCCTCATCTTCTTCACACTCCTCTGCAAGACTACTCCTAACAGCTTCAGCAAATGCCTCAGGATACTGGCTTGACAGCTTAGTTTTAATTACGCGAATTTTCTTAAAAATATAATCCAAGTCTTTTTTCATCTCCAACAACAGCTGCGTGTGTTTTTTAAACTCAGGTCCAATGGTTTTCAACCGGTTCGCACTCAACGCATTACAATTAGTGAGCATCTCATTAGTTTTTTCGAATCTTTGCAACCTTGAATATAATAATCATGAGTGACTTGCAAAATTATAATTACAAACTTGGTACATCTGTTTCTGGGCTCTTATCATTGATTCAACATCCTGTTGATCGACTATTCCAGCTAGGCCTTGAATAAAGACCTCGGGGGCTGTGTAGTTTTGAAAACATTCAATACTGAAATCACTCTCGGGGGTGCCTTTGCTGTCATCCATTTTGGGCTAGTTTTCAGGATCTTCAAAACGCATATTTCATTAATTATAATAATTATTTGTAACGTTTGTGGTAATATTCTAAGAAACTGTCATTTTGATGTTTGAGGTTAGTGTTTGACGTTTATTTTAAAATGAGAGTGAGAGGTTTCTTCAGTGAGAGGAAAGTCGTTATGACGTCATTAAAAGGCAGGACCGAATTTGTAATTTTTATACTCAATTTCTTTCAATTTCATTTAATTATTTTTAATTATTATTACTGGCAGATAATGACTTTATATACATCAGGGTCAAAAAAATATAACAAAATCTTGATAAAATAGATAAGTGTTAATTAATATTAATTAATAATTATTTATTTAATAACATGTCACTATTTTAAGCTTTAATTATTTTGATTTGAGGTCAAATTACAAGTCGAAGAGTCAAGAAAATGAAACAAAGTCTACAAACAATTAGTTCCTACATAGCACAGATTTACAAAGTATTGTTTGTTTAATAACTTTAACACTAATTAAATAATTAAACTTAACTGACTGTATAAAATAATTATTTTATTTTGAGGTCACTATACTGTTCAATGAATAAATACAATGATATTTTTATATCTTAATTAACTTGTAGGACGGATAGGTATTGTTGTATAAGAGGATATCCACTTGCATTAGATAAGAACTGATAATAAATGTTGTTCTGTAAGAATAATCATATTTAATAAAGCTCATGCAATAGGCTAATTTTTTACTTAGTTTCTTATAAAGCAATTTTCGAATTAAAAAGTCTATTATTTCAACTTCTTACTACTGAAACGTATGATTATAAATTAACAGAAGGATAAAAACATTGTTTATGGTTAGATTGAGATTTATTAATCCTATAAAAACATCACAACACTAATAATACTTTAACAATAAAACAATAATTAGGCATTTATTCACGTTTCACTAGTTTAAACTTTAGCGGTTGTTCAGGTACATACGTAGGCGTTATTTTATAAGAGAGAGGCCCATAGTTGTATTCCACTTTATATTTTCTGAAAATCTGATTTCGATTTATGAGTAGGAAAACTCTACTTTGAGATATTTACAAACCTTTGCTAACAAAATTTGTAACTCCGCTTCCGCAAACCTCCTCCCTAGACAAGATCTTCGCCCATAACCAAAGGGAAGAGTCACAAAAGGGTGAATTTTCTTGCTCATGGGACAGGCATTTTCAGTCTTTAACCATCTTTCCGGGAGAAAACGGTGGGGTTCGTGGAAATAGTCCTCGCTGTTGCTTACAACCAAATGCGGGAAAATCACATGAGTCTGGAATTTTTTAATAAAAAAGTTATTTTTTACATTTGAAATTAGGTTACGAACCCCTTTTGGTACTTTGTATCCAGCGATGACTGTGTCAGTCTGCAAGCTTCGCCCATTCCCGATTATGACAGGGTACATTCTTAGGGTTTCCTTAATGCAAGCTTTAAGATAAGGCATTTTGTCTTGAATTGAAGCGTCAACTTTTGAGTCATTTTCGGGTAAAATTCCTTGCAGTTCGTCAAATAGCTTCTGTTGTTTGTCGGGGTTTTGGGATAATTGGTATATTGTGGACGCTGCAGCGATTGAAGTCTAAATTATTGATTTTTATCATTTTTTTTGTATGTCAATTAAGAGAGAAATTCTTACTGTATCAACCCCCACTAGTAATAAATCCAAAGCTAAGACCGCTGCCAACTTCGGGTTGTCCGTCTTCAACAATATCCTTTCCACAATCGAGATATTTTCCTCTTTGATTTCATCAAAATTCTTCTCTTGCATTTTTTCCATCGACTTTTGAATGTGTTTCAAACACAATCTACGAATAATTGCGGTTATATAACACGGAAGAACAACCCATTCACCTTGTGTTAGTTATTACGCTAAACCTTACTCAAGTTCAAAGTTAACTTTCTCGCCGCAGAAATCGAAAGTAAGCTACTCTCATTATCTAGGTTACCAGTTCGGCTTGTAATACTCACGTCCGGAAGTCTTCTAAAGCACCGATGTATTTTTTGAAACTTCTGTTTTTGTAAACCCGCCAAACGGGCATCTTCAATTCTACTTCTGCCACGTTCCAGAAGAAGGTGTTTATGGAATTGATAATTCGCTGGGATTCGGAATTTTGGGACAGGTTCGGCTCCAGACACCCAAGTCTAGTGTCCAAAGAGACTCTTGCCACAGCTAAATTTCAATTTTAGTTAAGAAAATGCAAGATTTGGGTGCTTACATTCCAACGCCCATTTGTAAATTTCCGACAAGAAGTGGTTGGGGAGCTCCTGGTTCTCGTCCAACGAGTCCTCCATCCTGAAATTATTTTTCTAATTTATTATAATCAATTTCGCCGAAGAAAAAAGAAAAACCTGTTACTAATAGGTTTTGAATGTGATTACCATGCCGATCAAAGTGGCCTGTGACTTTGAAATTAAGTTGGCAACACCGAATTATTGAATGACAATTGACTATAAAAGTGTGACGTTTGAATTTGATTGTTCATGTTGCCAACTTAATTCCAAAGTCATAGAACCCTTTGATTTTTGGAATGTAATCAAAATTGCTTGTAATTATTTGGAAATATTGAAGTTATTTTTTTTTTTTGGAATTATCATAAATAATTTAAATTACTTTGAATTTCTGAGATCCATCGGAATTATTTTGAAATTACAAAAATTAAATTGGAATTACAGAAATTAATTTAGAATTATAAGAAATAATCTGAAATCTGGATTACAATGGATTAGGGCAATTACTGGAATTTCCGTGGATTTTTTTGAATTACTGGAATTATAAAAAAACTAAAGTTAAAATTATAAAAAAAATATTACCGGGACTGTAATTTGACGTGATTATTTTTAAAACTATGTATAATTACATACAAATAGTCAATGTAATTTTGATGCTATTGGTCGATATGAAATTTTTTCTCATTGTATGACAGGACTGTTTAAAAAATAATCAGAGATATTTTTCTCAAAATTACATGAATTTTTCAGACCTAAGTACATATACGGAATTAATTTGAAATTATTCGAAATAATCTGAATCTGAATTTCTAGAATTTTGGTAGATTTTTTTGAAATTATCAATATTCCAAGTGAATGCCAAATTTTTGATAATTTTGTCGAGTGCACGAGAGAAAATTAGAATTTTGCAGACTATTTCTCGAACAAAATTCACAAAACCAATATTTTGATTAGGTATAAAAATTTTAAAAATACGTCAAAAAAAATTATGTTAATCAAAAATCTCCCAAATTCTAAGATTTATCCCATCAGATTTACAGTAATTTAGCAAATTGTCGAAAATTTGTACACGTGCTGAATTATCACGTAATTTGAATCTGATTGAATCTACCTTAGTTTGAAAAATTTTATTGGCTTAAATTTTGTGAGGGAAATAGTCAGAAATATTTTTTTCAAAAGTACATGAAATTTGTAGAACTATCGGAATTAATTTGGAATTACAGGAATTATTTTTGAATTAAGAAAATTAACTTGGAATAACCGAAATTAAGTTGTAATCACAGGAATTAATTTGGAATTATAAGGAATTAATCTGACAGCCAAGAGCTAAATTTGTTCAACTACTCGAATTTTGTTGGATTTTTTTGAAATTCAAATTATTTGTACACATTTTTTTTCAAGTTAACGGCCTCTCGGGACACTGATCCAAAATTTATTTGTACAAAGTATACAAAAAAAAAACAAAATGAAGTTAAAAAATCTTGTTTTAGGTAAGCCTTTTTGTGAAAGGGAAATAATTCATTCATATTTCGAGAAAAATATGGTCAAAATGATGTTCTCTTTGAAAGTTAAAAAATGTTAAAGAGAAAATGAAATTAGGAAGAAAACCATACGCATTAAAAATTTTGTAAAATGTCACAGATTTTTTAATATTTTCCCTCCCAAATGTCGGATACATAAGCATAAATAAATTATCATAACACATAATAGTGTTGCATAAAGCTCGGTGTGGTATGTAACTCCACAAACCTAGTTCGAGCTTCCTTGTATATTTGTTTTAATTACCATAAATTATATAATATGCAAATCTGTTCCCACAGTGAAGTTTCCTACAAATCGAGCATTTTCCGCGGGACGTAACCAGAGTTTTGCAACATGATCATTACCAAAATTGTCCAATTTCGTTCAAAAACACGGAACAGAGACAATATTCCAAATTAGTTCCAAAATAATTTAGCATCATTACCGAAAAAGAAAACAATGCATCTGCTTGACACGCATTTCACCTGAGTTAACATTACGCAGACGGTTTAAAATAACCGTTTCCTTGATCATAAATTAAAGTGATCTACGGTTTGTTGTGATAGGTGCAGATGTACTTTTAAGGAACCAAGCAAGTCTATAAAATTCCACTTTTACCACAATGTAGGTCAGCCGTCTCAGAGGTATTATCTCATATCATTATATAAGATTCACTGTTGTTACATATCGGAAAATTTTTAAATAAATAACCCGGAAATACCTGTGAAGAAAATCGCCGGCAATTACGTCCAACGGCTCGATGTACTTTTTCGCAATGTGGGGCGGAAGCAGCGCGTGTTGGACCTTCCTCCGGAACTCCTCCCATTTGGGGCCATGTCTGCAAAACCACCAATCAAACCAACCCCCCACAATTTTCCATAAACTTACACCCCGATCACTCCGGCGTTGCCATCAAAAAAATCCTTTTTCAAAATTTGTTTGTAGTAGTGCAGCGAGGGCATGGAGGGCCTGTGGGGCATAGTCTCCTCCATCCTGAACACCTTCTCAATATCATCTCCGTTGAACACAAATAAAAGATCAGGGTGGCCTATCAACCCGCCAACTTTGACAATCCTGCCGTAGTCCCGATTTAGGGACCACATCACTTTATCCAATTCCTGGATTTTGTACTGGCCTATGATAGGCGCGAAACGCCAGGCGTTGCCAATTAAGGGGAGTTCTTTAGGGCCGGGGATCGCGCTGTAGGGTTTTGGGATTGTTTCAGCCCTTTCCACATGCTCGGGGATTACAATGTCGTCCAGCATGATTGCCGTTGAGTAGGGGCGGTCGGTGGAGTAGGCCCTTTGGGCCAGAGTTAGGGCCTTTTTAGGCACCAATAATTTTCGCGAAAGGGACATTTCGTGTACTTACGGTTACCAACTACACTAAAACTGCATTTCAGGAGAATACTAGTCCCGGTGGTTACTTTTGACTTAACTTTATAAACTCTGAAATTGAGGGGGGAGGACTTTTCGAACTTTTGCAATATTTCAGATAGAGTGGGCGATATATATACAGGGGTTATGTAACTGAAAAGATCTTAGGCGGGTCTAGCAAGCCGTGAACCGCAGTTATATCACCAGATAAATTCTCACAAGAAAGGTCTCTTCCTTAATCCACGCTCGATTTATGCGTTTTGACGAGGGGCCGTTCACTTTTTAATCAAAATTGCTTGAAAGTACAAATACTTGCAAAGCAATTATTTGGAATTACTGGAATTATTTGTGAATTAGTAGAATTTCTGGATTTCTTTTTGGAATTATCAAAAATAAAAAAAATATACATTGAATTTCCTAGAACTATAGAAATTCATTTGGATTTAGGAATTAAGAATTAGAAAAATTAAGTTGAAATTAAGGTGAAATTGCAGGAATTAAATTGGAATTACTGGATTTTTTACTCTAATTTTTCTGGAATTACTTGAATCCTTTTTGGAATTACGAAAATTAAGTTGAAAGTACGGAAATTAAGTTGGAATGACAGTAATTAAATTGTAATTATAGGAATTAAATTAAATTAAATCACTTGAATCCTTTTTGGAATTACGAAAATTAAGTTGAAAGTACGGAAATTAAGTTGGAATGACAGTAATCAAATTGTAATTATAGGAATTAAATTAAATCACTTGAATTCTTTTTGGAATTACGAAAATTAAGTTGAATTACGGAAATTAAGATGGAATGACAGGAATCAAATTGTAAGTTCAGGAATTAATTTGGAAAAATTTCTAAAATTATTTGTGAATAACTGGAATTATTTTTGAAATTACTGGAAATCTTTTTGAAATAATTATGGATTTTTTTTAATTACTTTGAATTTCCTAAAACTACCGAAACTAATTTGGAATTACAGGAATTATTTAGAAGTACGAAAATTAAGTTGAAATTAAGATGAAATTAAATTGGAATTACCAATTTTGAACTACTGGAATTCTTTAGGAATTACCTGAAATCTTTTTTGGAGTTACAAAAATTAAGTTGGAATTACAGGAATCAAATTGTAATTATAGGAATTAATTTGTAAAAATAACTGGAATTATTTTTGAATTACTTTAATTTTTTTTGGAATTATTGGAGATGTTTTTTTAAATTACTTTGAATTTCTTAAAACTATTTGAATTCATCTGAAAACAATGGAATTTCGCGACGAATTATTGGAATTTCTGGAATTATTTGTGAATTATTGGAATTTATCTGCAATTACTCAAACTAAGTATTTTTGGAATTATCGAAAATAATTTGTTTTTTACAATTACTTTGAATTCTTTACAATCATCGACAATCACAGGAATTACTTTTAAATTACGTATATTATGCTGCAATTGCGGAAATTAAATTTGAATTAGAATTAATTTGGAATTATAAGAATGAATTTAAAAACAATAAAATTACAATGAATTGTTGGAATTACTGAAATTATTTGTCAATTAGTGGAATTTTTCTGGATTTTTTTTTTTTTAATTATTGAAGATATATTTTTTTTAAATTACTTTGAATTTGTTAGAACTATTTAAATTAATCTGATCACAATAATGGGATTCCGCGATGAATTATTGGAATTACTGGAATTACTGAAATTATTTGTGAATTATTGGAATTTATCTGAAATTATTTTTATTATCAGAGATAATTTGTTTCTCAAAATTACTTTGATTTTTTTACAATCATCGGAATTAATTTGGAATCACAGGAATTACTTTTGATTTACGTAAATTAAGTTCGAATTACAGAAATTAAGTTGTAATTACAGGAATTAATTTGGAATTATAAGAATGAATCTGAAAACAATAAAATTACAATGAATTATTGGAATAACTGGAACTATTTGTGAATTAGATACTGGAATTTTTCTGGAATTACTGGAATTCTTTTTAAAATTATTGAAAATATTTTTTTTTTCAAAATTACTTTAAATGTCTTCAGACCATCGAAATTAATTTAAAATTGTACGAATTACATATTGTGGAATTATGAAAATCAACTTGGAATTATAAAAATTGTATTGGAATTACGAAAATTAAGTTGGAATTTTCTTGAATTATGTACTGGAATTTCGGTGGAATTTTTATGGAATTGGACTTAGTTGTACACATTCTTTCCTTTTGCATTTTAATATTGTCATTTCGATTTTTGGAAAAATAAATTTTACACGTTTGTGGTTTCCTATTTTATTATTGCTTGTTCAAACAAGACATGGCAAAATCGCACTTGCAAAACGATATCTTTTCGTATTTTTGAGCAATTTATTAACGGCGGGTCGTTAATTCCCGCTTTCTATTTATCTCTTGTTGTAACGGTTACTCAGCATTTTTTCAATTTTTGACACACAATGGCATTTGGCAAACCAATAGATATCAAAAGAATTAAAAATGCAGTCCTCGAAGATAAGCTATGGAAAACTTACATTGACTCTGAGGAAAAGACAAACCAGAACTGGAACAACCGGTGGAAATGGATTTTAGAAGAATACGAGTATTGGTTTTGGCAATTTAATTCACAAGTTTTATTTCAGTGTTTCAGCAACTTGCATCAAAAACTCGACGAGATTTCAAAAGATTCGGCTTTTTTGAGCGGAGTTAATAAAAATTTGAGGGAGAAAGACCAGAGGACTATTCGGCCGATTCCTGAAACTACAAATCATGAATACGGGTGGCTCCCCAACAAGTCTGAATTTCAGTTGGAGAAATACGGGCCTGATGTGGACCATGCGGCCCCCTTGCCGCCAAATTGTGGAATATTTAAAGGATAAATAAATTTTCAGAGACAACTAATCAATCTAGTCATTTCCTATAATTACTTGTTATGTGTGATATTATTACTACCTGGTTTTTAATTGGGTTAAACGTCCACTTATTCCTTTCACTGTAGAAACGTAACGAGATGAGATGCGAATAAGTGGATAAGTAATGGTGTTTGCCATTTTTAAGTGTTGACCTAAACATTGGTTCATTCGCTAAAAATTGCCGACATTTGCTTGAAATGGGTTAATTATCGTGATGATTGAGTTCATGCAATATCATTGTTATGTCTCATTTTCTTTTGAGTGATTTTATATTTCGACATAATTTATGAAAGACGTGCATAATTATTTTATAGTGACACTAATAACCAAATCAATGTTGCAACAATATGAACAGCAAGTTCAACAACTTTATTCAAGGTTGATTTTACTATTAGGGAAATACCGTAGAATAATTGCAAGGGCGGTGACTAATACCACGCTTTCAAATAAATTTTCGATTGAAGAGACCTGTGACTTTGAAATTAAGTTGGCAACATTCAAACGTCACACTTTTATAGGCAATTGTCATTTATTTCCGAGGGGTGGCCATTTGATATCACCAGTAAGTCGGTGTTGCCAACTTAATTTCAAAGTCACAGGCCACTTTGACCGAATTGAATAACACCTAGTAAAAAAATAACGCAAAATTTTGTTGGGTTATGCTCTAATAATAAATAATGTGGAATTTTAATTTAATAAATTGCAATAGGAAAATAAAAAAGTTTTTTCAAGTTTTGCTAAATGGTTTTGCAATTTCTTATCGTTTAAAGGACCTTTACCTTTTATTTTTGCTTCGGTTAAGCGGTTTCGAATAAAAAGCAATTTTCCATTGAGATGTGTGTTAGAAAAACAATACCATTTTCTGTAAGAAATAAATATTACGTAATATTTGGTTAGCACTCCACATTTTTCGAATATTTTTGTGGCAATTTTTGTAATTAGCTAAGATTTTACAATGTGTAAACACGATTGCATTAGTCACATTAGTGAAACAAATCACTTATTATTAGAAAAAATTGGGCCTAATTAGCAATTGCGTGAATTTTGAAATAACATGCAGTGCGTGTTATACAATAACCTCTGTTAAAAATTTCTCTTGCGTTTCGTCGTGATAGTGACAATAAAACTCGAGTATGCATTATTTTATTATTTATTTTTGTCAGTAAAAATTACATTGTCTTAGTTTTGGTAGACACACCTGTCGTATTCATAACAAAATAGTTGCTCGATTTTGTTAGCATCAACTTCTATTTCTTTGGTATGGTCTGTGTTTTTCACATCCTGGTGACCGTCACTGTCTACACAATAACATTTCCCTCTTCTACATTGTATCCGATTGAAATTACCGTTGCTGCAACACTCCGGTTTTTCATTTGCGTCTTCCGGGATTAGAAGCAAGGTTCTTGCGCATTCTGGAAGAACAGATTGATTTTTTTGATAAAAATCTTGCACTCTACTAACTGCAGTTCATTTCGTTTACGTTTCCTTTGTAATCACCGATGGGTGTCCCGTCAGGATTTGCGCAATATCCCCCGTCCCTAAAACCCAAAATTATTACAAAATATAGCCAAAGGAATAAATTTACTCATTTTCTTGGACCGGTGCATATCTGCCATCGAGACTACAACTGGGAAATTCCACTTCAAAAACTTCGCTAAAGCCGTCTTTTTTGTAGCTATTTATTTCTTCCAGTACTTTCAAATACTTTTCTGCACACGGGTGGTAATATTTGCCCGTTTCGTGGACCTCTTCATGGACTATTCACCAACAAAGTTATGAAAAACATTAAATATTAATACGTACAGCAATCTTTCAAAGTTGTACTAGAAATTTCTGAAACATTCACAAAAGACTTGGATGGGAAAGTGGGGGCTCCGTCAGAAGCGTCAGTGCACATGCAGTTGTCACCAATGCATTGTATAGTGTCATAATCCCCATTTTCCGTACATCTAAAATGCTCAATTGGGTGCAAATTTCTGCCAATAAAATCAACAGCGTCCGAATATTTTCTCGAACATGCTGAAAAAATATTTTCACTGTTATTTCGTTTCAATTAATTGCAGAATACCGCATTTCAGTATTAAGTCTGCGTTGCTGGTGTAAGGAATTTCGCCAAAAATCCGCTCCCCGTCTTTATCCACGCAGAAACACCTGCGAAAGAATTGTTTCTCAAAGCAAAATCAGTTTCAAAACCTTACGTTTGACCAAGATTACATTTGTAGGGTTTGTAAAAGCCGCTATCGTCGCAATTTGGAGGCACTTCCATAGTGCCTATATTTCCTTCGGTCTTTCTTTTTTCATAATCAGATGCTGCTTTTGCACACTCTTGAGTGTTATCTTTGATTTCGGCTAAACTCACTACAATAGATAAAAATCAGTGCTAGTGTCTCGCTTGGGTTTAAATACTTTTTGTGCAAACTCCAGCGTCACATGTAAGTCCTGGGCCACAAATTGAGTCAGGTACCAGGCCCCCTTCTTCGCCCTCTGCACATAAATCGTTTTCCTCTAAAAGTTTTTGATTAAAAATGAAATTGGGAATTTGTGCATAACAAACGTACTGAGGTTTACCAAGCAATATTGACAGCAGTTGCAAGGATCGGGGGATGGTAATATTAATCCATTGTATGTAGAATTTTGTATTTTACAGTTGTCCGGAAGTGCGCGACAAGAATTTTTCTCAGTATAGTCCTAATTAGGGAATAATACAATGCAAATAAATTTATTAAAATGCTTACGCTGCAAAATTTTGACGAACACAAGATGTTCACTTCGTCATCTGCACTGGTAAAGAAGTCTTTTGCACAAATAAAGAGTAATAATGTAGAAAAACGCATTTTTAACAATATTTTATTTCGATAAGCCCAACTAAAAATATAGTCAGGTTATCAGATAAGATAAGTTTCTATAACACTGATTTGTAAGATAATTCAATGATTTTTATCTCTGGTTAGTAATTAATAAGTACTATTTTAAATAAATTTGTATTTAATTTTTTAAATATGCTGAGGGGCTTTTTCATTTCGAGGCCGGTCCTGTTATTTGATGACGTAGGCGATAGAGCGAGAGAATTTTCGGATTTATGGGAATTTGATTCAATGGGAAATGTCACCTGTGCCGGTAAAGCAGCTCGCCTTTCTTTTCGGGTTTCTGTCGGAGTGCTCCTCAAGTGTGTTAGTATAAAATTAAGTAAAAAAGTGGCAAAAACGAGGACTTGTAAGTGAAATTGAACAAAGTAGCAACGATGGCCGACTTAGACGACTTTTTCGCAAAGAAAGACCGCAAGAAGCAAAAGAGTACGAAAAAATTCGCGACTACCGACGAAGTTGCAAAAAAACTCGAAGACAACGCTAAGAAATCGGAGAAACAGAAAAAAGAACGTGTCCCTGAAGGCGACGAAAGCTCCACTCCGGCCCATGTAAGAGTTCTGTTAAATGTGCAAGAGATTGAATAAATGTTTGGTTAGGTTTGATTGTAGCCATATTGTACCCTAATTTCAGGATCAGGACGAATGGAAGGACTTCGAGGAGGAGAAGAAGGACTACAGCGGTCTTAAAATCGGTAATTTGACTATAACGTCGCCGACGGATGGGAGCACAGGGGCCACAGAAACCAGCACTGAGCAGCAGCAAGGCTTCGATGAAGCGGGGCAGGAGAGCGAAAAGAAAGTGGGGCCTTGGAAGCGGGTCGATGTTGAGGTTCAGGAGGAGCCTGTGAAAGTCCCGGAGAAGAAACCCGAGCCGCCGCCGGTGACCAAGGGGATTGGGGGGGCTTATGTGCCACCCAGTATGAGGAACCAGCCCCAGCAGTCGCACCAGAGCCAGCCCACGCGGTTACGGTCTAAAGCCGCCCCCGATATCCACAATGAAGAATTTTTCCCCACATTGTCCAAAACAAGTGATCATAAGAAGTAAACAATCATAACTGTTTTTCTTAGATATTAAATATTTTGTTTCAGAAATCGTAGCGAAGGAGCGTTTGAAGTAGTGCAACACACCAGGGCGGGATCTCATCGACAAGTAGAACAAGCGAAGGCGAGTTCAGGGCAGGGCCCCAAACTGTCTCTTGAAAATCGCTATAATACTCTGAGCGACAGCTAGTGACTTGTACTGTTTAGAGACATGTTTCAAATAAGTGATGGCTGATTCGACTGTGGAACACATGAGTAGTACTGTCTCATTTCAGGCAATTCTAAGAAGTCTGTCAAACTACCTTAAATTTTAAGTTAATTTCCTTCCTGTTTTTAAATTAAAATGTATTTAAAACGCAAATTTAGGAAATTTTATTCAACAATTAGGTCTGTTTTCGGTTTCAAACGTTATCATTTTTTACAAATACAAATTTATAAGCATTCGAGGAACTTTTTCTAATCCTGTATGGCAATAATTTTATTTCAAGGCATTTTCATTGCAATTACATTTTTTTAACTTTAGTCCAGAGTTTTTATTCTTTTGTCTTCCAGAAGCTTGATTTTTTAAGTGATAAAATTGGAACAAATAAAACGTTTAGTTTCTTTATTTTATTCATGTTTTCAACAGTAGAAATAAAATCTTCTTTCAAAGATCTTCCAAAGTTGCATCTTCACTGAAATTAGCTTTTTACAGTTTTGAGTATCTCTAACTTGTGATCATAAGTGTCTCCACGCAAGTACCTTTCAACGTATTTCAGCCCATGAGACCCTGCATTACTGTAAGACTCATAAGTAGTCTTGTTTAAAAGATCGTCTTTAAAATCTTTGATGAAATAAATCCAAGTTTTAATTTTTTCATTTGAGTTTAATAAGAGCACATCTTTTTCCTCCCTTATGTAAAAATTTGGATGGTCCTCTAGAGTATCCAAATTTGCGAAAACCTTATCGTCAACTTCATAGACTTCGCCTCTAACATTAGTCCCATTACCTGTTAAAATAAATCCAAATTAAAACTTAAAAAAGATGTTTGAATTTGATTTACCCGGGCTGTGGAGCAAGAACGGAATATTGTATTTTGTGCCAATAATCAGAGGATATTTCTCTACAGTTTTCGCCTCTGAAATCAATTTATAATATCCGCTGTCTTTCTCAAACCAGTTATGATTCGGTTCGCCCCTTTTGAGCGTTCCGTACACGAAAACTTTATGCAATCGGCTCATCCTAAAACAGCTTATTCCGGCCCTGGAAAAATCTTCTCCAATAGCGCCCCTACAATTTTTTAAATACGTAATCAGCTGATTGACAGGGACAGAGGGTGTGGTGATGTCAAAACCCAACACACCCAACAACAGGTAAATAATTATTTTGATAAGAATTTATACAAAAAATGGTATCGTTAAGTGCATAATCTCAAAGGTCAACAACAAAGTGCGCTAAATTCAAATTCTTGCAAAAAATGTTGAGTACCTTGATTTTTCAGGTAGTTAAATGAAGCCCCACTAGCCCACAATGTGGTACTTAATAGTCACAGCGCGTAGTATAATCTGGATGTTGATAAGTCTCCTGGCCACTCTACTAATGCTGGGGGCCTTCATGAGCCCCCTTTGGCTGGTCAGGGGCCAACAGGAAATTCTCTTCGGCAACGAGACAATCACCTACACTGCCAGCGTTGGGGTTTACACAAAATGCAGTAAACCCATTAAAATCGAAGGCCCGGCGTGTACAGCCATTGCAGTGAGGGGGCTAGCAACTGACTCAAACGTCTTCCCGGGGGTTTGGAAAGCGTCGACTGTTTTTCTCGTTTCAGGCCTCATAATAATGTCCGCGACTGTTTTCATGGGTTTGGTTAGTTGCCGCATCCAAAGCTTCTTCAAGAAGAGTATTTTCACGATGTCTGGGGCGGCGCAAGCTTTAGCAGGTGTAAAATACTTGAAATTGAGCGAATTTTTATAAATTTTCTTCAGGGATTTGTTTTATTCTGGGTGTGATGTTGCATCCCATGGGATGGGGCGCAGTAAGGGTCCAGAAACTGTGCGGGAGGGATGCTTCCCCCTTCTATCCCGGGGATTGCAGTCTTGGGACTGGACTGGGATTGGCTGTTGCTGGTACTTTGCTTGCGTTTGTTTCAGCGTGTCTTTCAGTACCCGCTGAAAATTCCACAAGTAGTGATAAAGTACAAGACCAAATATACGAAGGCCAGACTCTCATTTGTCTTCTGTGAACAAGGTGATTTGATCGGTGCTTGTGGAGCATAAATTATTTGGGTTTTAGGTTTCTGAAGTAATCTTGAATACCAAATTGTACTGAAAATGTGCCTTCAAGTCTCTTGGGAACAATTTCGGCAATTTATAAGTGATATTTATTTTTTTATGTAATGGTGCTCTCATGTACTGCCACCTAACTGTACTTATTTTTTAATTAGTTTAGCTTTTATATCGTTTTTTATACCAAAAATTTTTATCGTACTTTTAAGTGTTTATATACCATATATAGCCATGCACTTTTATATACTTATATGAGACATGTAATAAAACAAATCACATTAAATTGCTTTATTTCACAATTTAATTAAAACAATAATTTAAATTAGACTAATCTTCTCGCGCGTTTTTCTTCTTTTTCACGTTTTTGGGTAGAAAAACTCCATGTCCGGTGCTTTTCAAATGATCAAATAGTTTATTTTTTGATGGGAAAGCGGATTTACAGCTAACACAACAGTGATTGGTGTCTATTTCTTCAATATTGGAAGCTTGTTTTTCCTTTTTACTTTGCTTCTTCTTGACACTCTTACTAACAGGTTCTGTATTTTGATTTTCTTCATTTTTCGGTTCATTCGCACGCTTATTTTGCTTCTTTTTCTTCTTTTGTTTCTTACTTGAATCAAAATCGAAATTATCGTCAGATTCGTCGATTTTCGTCACGTCAATTTCTTCGTCGTTGTTAACCGAAAGGATATTTTTGGCCTTTTTATTTTTCTTTTTTGCTTTCTTCTCCCGCTCTGAAGAATCTTCCGAGTCTTCCTCATTTTCGCTGAGATCTTCAAATTCTTCCTCTAAACAATTTTCATCCTCTTCTAACATAATTTCTCTAAGTCTTTCAACGTTTTCCTTGTGTTTTTTACTTGATTCGTGATTTTCTAAAGCTTTAGGAGTCTTAAAAAGTTTATTGCACGCTACACAGTAACTTCCTTCCTTAACTTCCCCATCTTCTTCCTCTTCAGAATTTGAAAATTCTTCACCAAATTGTTCAGCTAAATGCTTCTCTATTTCTTCCAACTCGGATCTCACGTTATCGAACTTGGACCACTCAGCCTGAGTTGATTCATTCAACTGTTTTTTCCTCTCGAGTCGTTTTTGTTTACTCAACTCTTCCTGTTTCTGACGATTTTCCAATATTTTTGCCTCCATAAGCTTAGTGTGTTCTTGAACCCGTTTATCCCTTTTCCTCACAAAAGCAACAAGATTTCTAATTTCTTCATTCCTTTCTTTCTTAGCTTTCTGTCTAACTTTTTTATTTTCCTTCTCGATAGCTTTCAATACTCTCCTATCTCGCGTTTCGTTGATGTTGTACGGATCAAGCCAAACGTAGCTTTTCTTAGTACAATAACTCGACCAGTAGGAGTAAAACGGGCCAACAACTTCATCATAGTCACTTTTAGAATCCCCAAACCTCGGTATGTCACAAAACTCCTCTTTATCGTCAATAAACTCAAGATCTTCCTTTATGATTTGGTCAAAAACATTGCGATAGACCGTGTAGAAGCCCTTTTCGTCATCGCCATACCTTCTGAAACACGTAGTAGTGAAATACTGGAACACATCAAGACTGTTGTCTTGAAACTCGGAATTGGCGCCCCGCAAAATTTGCTCACGGTGTTTATCGTACCAAGCCCGTTCTTGGGGGTCACTGAGCACGTCGTAAGCCTGTTGCACCAACTGGAACTGTTCTTTGGCATTCTCTGTGTCGGTGAGGTTTTTGTCTGGGTGCCACTTCAGGGCGGCTTTTCTGTACGCAGTTTTAATTTCCGCCAAGTCGGCGTCGCGTGGAACGTTGAGAATTTCGTAATGACACTTCATTTTTAATTTAAATTTTCAATTTAGGAGCAAAAGGGGCCACTTAACCTATCTTTCGGACAGGTGTCAAATGTGACATCTGTGACGGGTGACATGTGGTAGAGAGCGCTTTTCACAAATGTCAAACAGCTGATTGCTAGTATGAAAATGGCGAATCGCAGGTCAATTTGTACGAAGTATTTGACACTGTGTTGAAAATCCGTCCCCCTTAGGCCATTTATTGATAAGGTACCGTTTTTTTTTAATTTTAGTTGTAAGGGGTTGTGTGGGAGGAGTTGACAAGAAAGTTTGGTTAGTAATTATTGGAAATGTCAATCTGAGGGTACAAATTGCCCCACTAGTTTGAACTACTTCTGCTGGATTTAAATTTGTGGAATTGGTTAATTGGTGGACACTTTCACAGTACCTAAAATTTATTAGGTCACGTGACACACTAACCACAAACATTTAATTGACTTTAATTTACTCTAATTGAGCCACACTAAAACATAAATAAATCTATTTTGTTTATTTTAGTATCGACATGCCGGGCAATAGCTTGGTGGTGCCAGTCGTGCTATGGGGCAAATATGCCCCCACACACTGCATCTCTTGCATATATTTATCAAAAGACCAAAAGACTTTGGCTACTGGTTGTTACGACGGACAGATTTGCCTCTGGTAAGGACATTATTTTGGGTAAGAAGTCCACTCAAATGAATTTTTTAGGCAAGTCAACCCGGACACTTTACAAATGACTCCAAGGTGTTTACTTGTGGGGCACACAGCCCCGATTTTGTGTATATCAAAAGCCTCGATATTGCAAGATAATAATTACATCGTCTCCAGTTCCGAAGCTGGCGAGATGTGCACTTGGGATCTGGTGGATGGGAGGTGTAGGGAACATGTGAAGTTACCCCAAGTGCATACCAATATGCAGGTAAAAAATGTACAAGCGCGTGATTCAACAATAATTTGATAACAATGTTTACTCATTGTTATGAAACGTCTAGTCATAATTAATTGTACATAATTCTTCAAGTTTCATTGTTTTAGGCATACCATATGAGCAATTGCGAGGATGTCAGGTTGTTTTGTAACGGCTACTATCCCGAAATAATAGTCATGGATCCGTTCAGTTTGGAAATTTTATTCACTTTATCTTCTAAACAAAATCCGGATTGGATAAGTGCCCTTCATGTGGGTATCAACAAAGCGAAAGTTTTTTTATTGTTTTTTTTTTTTTTTATTAGGTGTTGCGTCCGTGCAACCGCAAAGACGACGTGGTTTTGGCTCTGACCACCACCGGGATGGTGAAGGTGTGGACCCTTCTAGGCCACGAAACCAAGCATTCTGAGCCCATTTACGAGAACGAAAGCAAACAAATCAAGCCGTTGAACGCTGTTTGCATCCAGTGTTGTCCAAACAATCAGCGGACTGTTTTGGTGGTTGTTAGCAAGTATTGGCAAGTGTATGACGCAGGTATATCGTCTACTATTAATCACTGATTGAATTAAGTGGAAAAATTCCAGGCGATTTTAGCATTTTGTGTTCGTATTTATCACCGCGGAATGAGCGATGGATGTCTGGGGATTTTCTAGCAGCCGATCGAATAATCATGTGGTCAGATGCCGGCAAAGGTTATCTTTATAAACTACCCGCGAAGTAAGATTTTTTTACCTAATACGGTTTTTTGACAATTTACACCGACACATTTCAACGAGTTGTAGGAATATTTCATTTTGTATTAACTGTATTTTACTGGTGCGTTGGTAACTTTTTGAAAATTAAAATGTTAATTGTAAATTTCAATTTTCTGCATTTTTCATTTGGTTTTTGTTCTGATTATTGATGCACCCACCATTAGCCAGTAACAGTTTATTAATGATCAATTTTTTTCATCATGGAACACAGCAAACTACGTGGCAAGAATATTACAAATAGGTTAGACAATCATTCCATATCCGTGTTTTAGTTTTGCTTTGCTCACCAAAGACAAAATTGTCTTATCAAGCTTATTACCCTTACATTGCACATTTTACTTGCGCTTTTTAGTCTTGTGTTAAAAATTTTGCATGTTTGATTATTTTTCTCTATCATCTGAACTAAAAACTCTGTCCTTCATGTACATACAATTACTCCGCCAGTACTCGGTCTGCTTTATTGTGTGTTTTTCCTTGATTTAAACGTGAAAACTTTGTTTTAAAATAAAATCAATTTTGCAGCAGTATTCCCGACAACAAAAACTTCCACACGCCTAGTATAGAAAGTGATAGTCCTTTCCTGTACTGTCTTCTCAGCCAACCCGACAACAAGGTAATTCCCCCTTGAAAACACGGTTTTACCCCTCATTGTGACTTTTAGTTGTTGTCGTGTCCACCTGCGATGCGTTTTGTAACAACCCGTCGGCAAAACAGGGAATATCGTTACCTGCTTCGAGGCGATTCAGAAGGATACGTTTTAGTTTGGAACATCCCTGAGATATCTCCGGCTCAATTACACGAAATTCAGAACCAAAAGCCCCCACAGCCGGTACAAATGACCGCTACTTTAACGACAAGTTTGACAGAAGCCTGGGCTAGTATGGTACCGAGTCCTGTGGGGATTTTGGACCAGTTGGAGAAACAAGAAGGGCGACGTTAGTTGTTTAAAAAAATTTTAAATAAAATTATTTTGTTTTGTTACTAATTGTAGCGGTGAAACTGACTGCTAGTATTTACCTGCCGTTGCAAAGTCGCTTAGTTGTGGGGAGGGAGGATGGTACTATTATTATAGTCTCAGCGACTCAGACTGTCATGTTGCAATTGTTACATGGAAGTCATCAATATTTAAATAGTAAGAGATTTGGTGTCGTTTTTGGGAAAAATCAATGAGTGATTGCAGATTGGCCCCCACATCAAGTCTTGTCGGGACATGGGGGACGCGTCAATTGTTTATTGTACCCCTACAGGGAGCATTCGCGCTACGATAAGAACCATCTCGTGTCCGGGGGTGTCGATTTCGCTGTGTGTTTATGGGATTTGTATGCAGGTACTTTGCTACACAGGTTTTGTGTCCACGCAGGGGAAATCACCCAATTACTCGTCCCTCCAAACAACTGTAGTGTAAGTTTTTTTTTCATACTGTGAGACATGAAGTAAGAACGTGTTTGTAGACACGAATCCAAAAATGCATTTGTTCAGTCGCCTCGGATCATTCAGTGACTTTGTTGAGTTTAACGGAACGGAAGTGTGTTTGTTTAGCTTCGAGACATTTGTTTCCGGTGACGACGATTAAATGGCGACCTTTGGACGATTTTATTATTATTGGGTGTTCCGATGGTACTGTTTACGTGTGGCAGATGGAGACGGGACACTTGGATCGGGTTTTGCAAGGTTTTTATCATTTTTCGTCGACAATTTCGAAAGCATTGTTTTTAGGAATCGCCGCTGAGGAGGTTTTGTACGCGTGCGAGGAACACGAAGCGACTATCACTTCGTCCGAAGTCGGGCTTGCGAACCCGGCAGTGCACTTTTTCAGGTATTTAAAATTAAATTGTTTTTTTTTAAGTTTTGACGGAGTTTTTCAGGGGTTTGAGGCACCGGAATCTGTCAGCGATACGTCACGCCACTCAACGAGGCCTCCACCAGTTACAGCAGTTGGGGGCTCATACGAATAACGACGATCCTCACATGCAGAGGACGCACAACTCGCCACTAGTCATCCAAGGAGTCAAAACTAACCCAAAAGATGCAGAGAGTCATATTTTATTCTTTGATATTGAAGCGTTAATAATTGAACTTTTGAATGAGGAATACTCGATGATGTCACCTGGAAGTTTGGAAGCCGCCGGTTTAATAGCACAGTCGGAGTACATGAAAGTGGCGGCACTTACGCAAAGTGCGAGCCCTGATGCTCATAAAAAAATAGTAGGTGAGGGGAGAACACTGGTAAAATCATTGCTCTGATGAAAGCAATGATTTTATTTTTTAATAGTAGTGTAGTTTAAGTTACTTTGAGATAGTAATTCGTGTTTTTGTCTGTTTGCAATTAAGACTTCTTTGGAAAAGTGAAAGATAAGGCGGAGAATATGGAGAGAATGATTAAGGAAAAAGACAAGCATGGTAACAAGTTTTTTATTGCTTGGTTTGTGTGTTTTACTTGTCTTAGTTTTGTTTTTGAGAGTTTTCGCTTTTATTTCAATATTCTCTATTAAAAATCTTTTAATTAGGAATTCTGGCCAAAGTTAAAGAAGGTGCAGAGTCTGTACATACGAAATTTCAAGCCAAAGCTGAGAGCGTTCTCAAGGGCGGAGATGTTCATAAAGGTAGGAACCACTTTTAGAAATAAATTGGACGTAGAGAACAATTACGTTAAAACTCCTTAAATTTTTTTTAGTAGATTTTGTTTTTTATCACTGCTTAGGCATCTTTTAGTCCTTGAATAACTGGTTATTATTTTTTATTCTTATTTTAATGACAAGCAATTGGTACACACAATTTGTTCAGTGTGTTTGTTTAAAGCACAAATTAAAGGTAATTATTGCTTTAATGTCTCAATTTTTCAGTTTTGAATTGTTTTAATTTTGGATTGGTAAAAGTCGTTTATTTGTTGTTGCGTTTATTGCCCTAAAAGTACAAATATTGGTACAGTGTTAACTCTCAGAGTTAAAGTTGACTATTGTTGGTCATTTCGACTGTTGAAAATGTGGAACTATCCTCGACCGTGGAAAAATCCGCTTTTCGCCAGTCAAACCTCTCTTCGCGCTTAGAAGACATGATGGTAGGAGACGGCGTGTGGTACGACGGCGGCGGCGTGGTGGTACACGGGGGCGGCGTAGTAGGCGCTGTGTACGTAGGGGGTGTGGTAGGCGGCGACGACGTCTCTGCGGGCACGGGATCTGACAAGAGCGTGGTGGTTGAAGTGAGCCACTCTGGCGGCTACGACTTCGGGGGTTTCAGCGGGGACGGCGGGTCCGACGGGGAGGGCGTTGGAGGCGACACGGTACCCCAAAGCGTCAGCGACGTAGTTGGCGGAGATGACTTGGCCGTCGGGGGCGACGTAGCTGTAAGAGCCGGCTTTGTTTCCGGCGGCGTCTTGGACGGCGTGGTGGGCTTGGAGGGGTTCAGAATGGCCGTAGGAGGCTTGGCCGAGGGCGTCTTGGGAGTGGTATTGGGTCTTCTCGACGACGGGGGCAGCGACGGTGTGGGCGATGGGGGCGGCAACTACGGCGTGGTGGGCGATGGGGGCGGCGGCTACGGCGTGATGGGCGATGGGGGCGCCAGCGAAGGTGGAGTAGGCCAAGGGGTGGGCATAGTTGGTGAAGGCATAGTCGGGTTTGGCGCATGCCACGGCCAAAACGCAAGAGAGAGCAACCTGGAATTGATTAGTTGTTTTACGGGGTTGGGGATAATTTTTATAGACGTACCAAGAATTTCATGGTGATTGTGATTCGGTCGATCTGTCAAAGTCAACTGGTTTCTTCGTGGTTGAATTCTTCGTTTTATACTTCTCTGATGGTACCCTTGTCCGCCCAGTACTTGTTAGCCTTAATCTTAAATGTTGGTTCTTATTTTAATTTGTCATAAGTGTTGTTTTCCCAAACATTTAGTAAAGAGAATTTGTAGCTTATGTTTATGAAACAGTTCGATATTTTATCTAAATATTCTTATCTTTCGAAATTTCGGAAAAAAATTGTTTTTTATTCATAGTATATATTTAAATGGGTTTTCGAGGTTTTGCCATAAATTTTAAAAGTTCTCTTTTTGTCTTTCCAGTTTTAGTAATTCATTATGTATGGATTTTATTTTGAAAAAAAATACACTCTCAGTGTATAATTCGTAGATAATTCATATAAAATCTGAATTCTAGAGCATTTATTTTGTGTTACTTAATTTTTTTTTGACAAATGAACAATGTTTGTTCTAGGTATTTAGACAGGGTGATTTAAAAAAAACGCCAGGCGTTGTTGAATTTCAAAACTTACAAAATTTAATTTAATGACTTTTAATTGAGTGTAAGCCGACAATGTTTGAATTTTTCTAAATGTCATCGTTTATTTTGTGCTATATTCTACTTTCCAATTTTAAATTGGAACTCATATTTTTTTCTACATAATTTGGGAAGTATTAGGTTTTTTTTGGTACAGATGTCTGCAATATGTTCTACTTTTACTAAAAATTATTATTTAAAAAAAATATTAAAATTTAAAAATTCAATAAAAGTAAATAAAATTGCATGGTGTCAAATAAGACAATGCCTTTATTGTAATGTCAAAAAGCAGCAAATGAAAGAAAATATTTTCAATATTTTTTCAAATTTTTAATAAGAAATGACAATAGTAATTATTTATAATAAATCAGAAAAACATTAATTTAGTGTTATCAACTTATTTTATTTTTATTTATTTAAAATATTTATTTTGTTTACTTTTAATTAGATTGTTGTCATTTTTTTAATTGACACCATGCAACTAGATTTTATGAACCTTGATTTTGTAATCAATAATTAAGAAAACTTCAGAATTTTGAAAAAAAAAGTTTGGGTCCCTATTTACAATTAGAAACTTGAATATAGCCCAAAATAAGCTATGACATTTAGAAAAACTCTAAAATTATCAGCTTTATTATATGAAAATAATATAAAAGTTATCTTCTTGTTTATTAATCTTTGCAATGAACGTATTTTTTTAAACTTAATTAAATATTTTCACTATTTTATTAAAAATGTAATAAATTCGTAATAATAAAATGAAGATGAAACAAAAAGAGAAAATTACTTGTGAAACTTTGCTTATCGTTTAACTAAATTAAAAATGTTGCAGATAGAAATAATTACTTCTTATTTGTTTTTACTAATTGCATATTTAAAAGTCGTTTATTGAGACATTTATTAATTCACATATTAGTCCAGTCGTTGTCCTTCCGGATATATTAATTTTAAATTTAATTGTAAATTACATGCGTCAGTTATTTTTGAATAATTTGGAAAATTTAGACCAATCTCGCTAACTGTTATCATTCGATATACCGACATTGACCTTTAAAAACCCGTATGTATTGTTTTGACAAAAGCACAGATCTATCTTAATCCCCCTTACGGCCTTGCCTTTGGCGAAGGTGGAGTTTACGTGTGTTTGTGACTACACCACGTCCATGCATCCTATTGATGAAGAAAACAAGCCGAGCCTCCAAGACCTTAATGTCACACGTTGCATTAATAAATATCTTTGCGCCTAATTACTTGTTCATTATGTCGGGTTATTGCCTGATTCAGGAACACCCGACCACTCCCATATTGAACTTGTTATTTGGGCAAGGTCATCACCGTATTTAAATGCTAATATACGTGTTATGCAAAGGCTTTTTTTAATTGAAATTTCAGACGGAACGGATGGAAACCCGCGTTCTAACAGCAAACCGGTGTTGGGCCCCCTTGAGACAAGCCATACGATGGAAATCGCCCAACTTCTCCTGTCTCTCCTCCATTCGTGGGGTCTGGATAACGATCTAGACAGGGTCTGTCAAGTGAAATTGGGTTTGTTGAGACCCCTGGTGCCTATATCGTTCGGTCTTTTGTCCAAAGCGAATCAAATGTCTTTGTTTCTTCCCACTTGGAATAGTGCGATTCTAGTCGACGATGAAAGCATCCCCGAAGATCTCTCCTTCGGGGATGAGAAAATGAGCAATTTGTACCCAGAGTTAGTCAAGCGGGAACATTTGACTAGAATTTTCACTTCCCATACACATTGGGAATTGAGCACGACTCTTACTAGCAACCATCTGTTGGCTATCATTGCCCTAAGTCATACTTTAATGTCGATGAGCAACGCAACGTTCGTTCCGGAACAAGAAAGGAACCGGAAGTTGCATCGTCAGTCGACTCGAGTTAACTGGAGCAAAACAGATGAAGAACATGAGGAAATGTACACCCAACAACAAGCACAAATCAAACAAGGCTGGTCCTTGTTGGCCACTCTTCATTGTGTTCTTTTACCAGATAAAGTGGTCGAAGCAGGGGCGAAGAATTTCAAACGGCCACAGGTCGAAATGATGGCCAAGAGGTGGCAGCACCACTGTGTCGAAGTGAGAGAGGCAGCTCAAACACTTCTTTTAGCTGAACTGTCCAGGTAAAATATTTATCAAATTATACAGGTGTTCCGTGTAAACCCCACATTAGAAGTATTGGAAGTTGGAATAATCGTATTTATTTGAAAATTGCCATAGCCATAAACCATTAAGTTCTCCTAAATGAAAATATTTTCAAGATGGCGACACTTCCGGTTATACCGGAAGTCGGTCTCAACTTTCTTATTTTAAATGGAAATGTATATTTTTTACTGCGTTTTTGGATTAACCGGGTTATTTTAAGGGAGTTTTCATCAGCTTTCCCTTACCTAAATTTAGCCGTTTATGAAATATTTGGAGCTTTTTCAAAAATTTTTGGATCTGCACCTTCCACTTTAAAAATTGGTGACTCCGCCATTTTTTAAGATTTTTGGCATTTGAAAGAGAAAGGTTAGATCCTTTTTCTGGTGTTTTCAAATTTTGGAAAAAAAAATACATATCCCAAAATTTTAAGGTTAGTTTTGTAATAATTCAAATACTCATAAATCACTTTTTTCAAATGAAATACCCCCAATTTAATTTTACTAAATAGAAGAGAATTTAATTGTGCATTGATCTGTATTAACATTCCCTATACCTAAATTTTATAATTTTCAAGTTATGGACTTTTTTTAAGACTACAGAAAATTTATTACTAGCCACACCCGTTTTCACGTAACTTGCTATGGAAATAAAAAATGTCAAAATTGTCTCTCAATAAACGTCGACAGTGACTTATTATTTGACAAACAGTGCCAAAATATGGAGAATCAAAGTTATGCAAACTTAATTATTAGTGATAGGTTCTACCATGCGATCATTATTTAAAGCTAATAAGTGAGAAAAATTTATTTTTATATAATGAACGACATCATAATTTTGTTACACTCTCCATAAATACAAAATAGACTAATTAAATCTAAGTTTGAGTAGCTTTGACTCTCCATATTTTGGCACTATTTGTTAAATAATAAGTCACTGTCGTCGTTTATTGAGAAACAATTTTGACATTTTTTATTTCCATGGCAAACTATACGAAAACGGATGTGACTAGTAATAGATTTTCGGCAGTCTTAACAAAAAGTCACCATAACTTAAAAATTATTAAATTTAGGTATAGGGAATGTTAATACAGATCGATGCAGAATTAAATTCTCTTCCATTTAGTAAAATAAAAATTCGGGTATTTCATTTGGAAAAATTGAGTTATGGGTATTTGAATTATTACAAAAGTAACCTTAAAGTTTTATAGTTTGTTAATTTTTTTTTTTCAAAATTTGAAAACACCGGAAGAAAGATATAAACTTTCTCTTTCAAACGCCAAAAAAACGAATTCAAAATTTAAAAAAATATCAGAGTTACCGATTTTTAAAGTGGAAAGTGCAGATCCAAAATTTTTTGAAAAACTCCAAATATTTCAAAAACGGCTAAATTTGGGTATAGGGAAAGCTAATGAAAACTCTCTTAAAATAACCCGATTAATCCAAAAACGCAGTAAAAAATATAGCTTTCCATTTAAAATAAGAAAGTTGAGACCGACCTCCGGTATAACCGGAAGTGTCGCCATCTTGAAAATATTTTCATTTAGGAGGACTTAATGCATTATGGCTGTGTACCAATTTTCAAACAAATATGATTATTCGAACTCCCAATACTTTTAATGTGGGGTTTAGATGGAACACCCTGTATTATTACCAAATTTTTGTTAATAATTGTTTTAAGGATGGGTCCGAAGGGCCGTAAAGCCCTAGTGGACGCCTGGTCGCAATATTTGCCTCTGTATACCCAAACTGAAACAATCAATCAACATGCGGTGACTACACCCAACATGAATCACGTCAATTCGGGCCAAATACCTCACTCGCCAGAAACAGCGGTAGTTTTTAAACTCATTATAGAATAGTTTTGATTGGATTTTTTAAGGAGGAGGAATTCGAGGAAGAAGAAGAGGAACAGATCCGCAAACCGTCGAGTTTATCCGAACTGAAACGAAAACAGTCGACTGCTGTGATTTTACTGGGTGTCATAGGTGCCGAATTCGGTCAAGACATAACAGGCGTCGACAATAACAAAAGACGAGCGAGTGAAGATCGAAGGAAAAGTTCAGTTGTTGAAGGTTTTGGTCAGGGCAATAATAATTTAGCAAGACTGACTGCGATGGCGCTGTCACATTTGTTACTAGCGCCACCTTCGCCTAAACTGCCTGCGCACATTCCGTTAAGGAGGGCAGCTATCGATTTAATTGGGAGAGGGTTTACGGTGTGGGCCCCATTTTTAGATATTAGCAAAGTTTTATTAGGTAAAGAAAGATTTGAGGTGCAAAAATGTATATTATATTTTGTTAAATTTAGGTTTATTAGAATTGTGTTCAGATGCTGATCGGTTAGTGCCCAGTATGACGTACGGTTTGCCTTTGACGCCTCAAGCCGATTCGTGTAGGACGGCGAGGCATGCTCTCACTCTCATTGCAACAGCAAGGTAAGAAAAAAATATAGTGTCCTAAGTGATATTAAGTTGGCAACACTGGAGTGTTGGTGATATCAGAGTGTGTCTGTGACGGCGATGCCAGCAACTACCCCTCGGAAATGAATGACAATTGACTATAAAAATGTGACGTTTAAATTTGATAGCCAATGTTGCCAACTTAATTATCAACTCAATCAGAAATTTGTTTGTAAGCTAAATAAATGAGTACTTTTTTGCCGTAGACCTGCTGCTTTTATTACGACAATGGCCAAAGAAGTCGCACGATATAATGCAATGCAACAAAATGCCCAAACTCTAAATATAAACATGAATAATAATGTGTTGCATAAAGCCAAGCCGGAAATATTACGAGGTGTTGAATTATTAATTGATAAGATGCAAAATGAAATGAGTGATCTCTTAGTTGAAGTAAGTGCAATTTTTTTATATTAATTTCTATTAATTTTGTATTTGTAGTTGATGGATATAATCTTGCACTGTCTTGATCCTAGTCAATTGAAAAATAAGGGCCTACAAGACGTCTTTCCTGCGGTTTGTCGGTTTAATCAGGTTTCCCATTGTCCTGCAACCAGAAGAATTGCCGGTAATAGTTGTTAGATTTCCCCAATTAAAGCCTTTTCGGTCAATATTAAAATTAAGTTGGCAACACTGAATTTTTGTATTTGTTGACAGTGGGTTCGAACGCGGGCACTTTGACCCTCTACGAGCTGCGACAGGGCAAATGCACGACAATCAATGCCCATTCGTCGCCGGTGACGGCGGCAGCCTTCAGTCCCGACGGCAAATTCCTAGTTAGTTACGCTTGCGGCGAAAACAAGCTGTGTTTCTGGCAGACGAGCACAGGTTGGTGTCTTTGAGACGTAATTGAGCGAGTTCTAGTGTGTATTTCAGGGATGTTTGGTCTGGGCCAGTCGCAGACGCGGTGCGTCAAGTCGTACAGCACCGCCCCCATCGCCGATGTAGCGCGCTTGAATCCTATGAGGTTGGCAAGACTGATTTGGATAAATAACAGAACTGTGACTCTGATGTTGGCCGACGGTTCCGAAACACGTTTCAATGTATAACAGGCATGTAAGAAAACCGTGGCCTTTCGACTTGTTGTTGTTGTTCTTTCACGTCTCTTCTTATCCTCTCATATGTTAGGATGTAAGCCATCATTATTCAATTGCACGGTAAATCCGATTCCTTACATATATGTATAAAAAATGATGAGTTGGTTTTTGTGTCACAAGACAATAATTTCAATTTTGGTTTCGTTGTCGTCGGTTTTACAGCCATAACGGACGACTCGTGTATTATATGATAGCCTTAAGATATTCAAATGAGTGTGCCTCAGCATACAGTCTAGTTAAAATCACAAAGTAAGTATTAAATCGATGTGTTTATTTACACCGTTTAGTATTTGGAGGGTTTTGAGATGAGGGGTAATAGACAAAAGAATCATCGTCGTTAAATAATTGTTAAATTTCTGATGACATTTTAGTACAATTGAGTCGCTTCAAATATAATATAGCTTGTTGTATTTATTATAAATATGAAAAGAAAGCTATATTGGAAATATAAAGCAGTCAAATACTTTTTGTAATATTTTATTTATTAGTATATTTCGCACTTTATATAATTAAAAAATGAATAGTGATATATATTATATAGAGGTAATTTTATTGTCTAATGATGTACGATGTTTATAAACTGTACATAAATGTTATTTATTGTTAATTTCAGTCATTTGAGTTTAGCTATTATATACTCTACAAAACAAGTCAACGGTTCTTTACTGGATTTTCTATAAATTTATTTGCAGGTTAAATCCTGGCGACGTTAGATATTGTTAATAATTATGCTGTTGAGTTTGTTGAAATAAATTTTTTATCAAAATTGGTGCTCAGTAATTTGGGAATTCGTCAACGACTAGTAGATGTCTTGAGGCCTATTTAAGCTTTCCCTTTCATTTTCTCAAATAACAATTCCAAAAAATGTGATCTCAAACAGTACTTTTCGTTTACATCACCGTCTTTAAATGTAATGTCGTTGAACAATTTATTTTTTAAGTATTTGAACTATTTGATGTGCGTGTATTGTGAAAAATACGTTCCCTATCCAGTTTTCGCACCGAAATTTACTGCATTTATGCACTCACACACCCTCTGAGAGATAATGATACGAATGCTAGTCAGTATAGAGAAGGTGAACAATCGTAAATGTAGGACTTTTCGGTGTTTGTGTTATGTATATATTATAACATACATTATTAGCAATATTCTAAGTGTTCTATGTACATGTGTGTACATGATAATTAGTCAAAATATATTATCTAAAGATAATCGAGCCGCGTTACTCATTCGCCTTGTGATTCACTTCTTCCTATTTAAAATAACCAACAATAACTGACCTGAATGTTAACAAGGTGGCATATTTCTGTCTTTATTTGTCGCCGAAAGTTGTACATTTGCATAAAACTAAGAAATCACAAATTTAGAATCTTATAAATAACGCAATGGCCATAAAGACCAAAAACAAAAAACTCGCGCTGCTTCCAGCCCCGCTGGTTCTTTCATCACTTCCATGAATGATGGAATTCTCCCTCTCCTCAATCGTCGTAGCTATAGCTTTGTTAATAGCCCTCATTAAGGGGAAATTCTCGAAATGTCCATCGTCCCCAACATCGGCACAATCCCCATGAAAATCATCGGTGTCAATCGACCAAACCATAATCCCACCCAAATCTTTTTCCATCGCAAATTTAACTTTCTCCCCTATCGATCTCGCGTCATCATACGTCAATACTTTATTACCCGACACAGCAAAAGGCGTTTTTGATTCACTATCCCAGAAAGTGGCCCAGTTTTGGGACTTGTTTTTCACTTCCAAACAAATTTCGTTGTAACCCATAAACCCGTTCTCTCGAGTGAACGGCCCTTGGAACCCTATGTTGCGAGCGACGGCCCCCAGTTTGGGTTTGCGCTCCGACTCCGGGTCGTAGGGCTCCGGCAGGAGGAAAGTACGGCCGTAGAGTGGCACTCCCATTACTAGTTTTTTGGGGGGAGCACCGAGTTTCAGCATGTAGTTTATCGAGAATTCGACGTTTAGTACATCGGAGCTTTGGAGGGGCGCATTTGCCCCGGTTTTTTGGTCCCAAGCCCCGTGGTAGTCGTAGCACATCATATGGATGAAGTCTAAGTAAACGGAAAGACCTTTGACATCGTACGCTACGTCTATGGTGTCTTTTCCGGCCCCGAAAGCTGCAGTTAAGAGAAGATTGTATTTGTCAAAGGCTGCTCTGAGTTCCTAAAATTGGTTCAAATGAGTAATGTTGTTGTTTTTGTTGATTAGTCATACTTTGACTAACAAGAGGAAGTTGAGTTTGTCTTCAGGGGCACCGCCGCGTTTTCCAGGAAACTCCCAGTCTAAGTCAAGGCCATCAAAATTGTATTTCCTGAGGAAATCGATGGCGCTTGAAACAAATCTGCTTCTTCTGGTGGGGTCTTTTGCAAAACTTGAATATTTCAAGGAGCCCTCATTCCAGCCCCCGATGGCTAGAGTGACCTTCAAGTGGGGGTACCTGTGCTTAAGTCTTGTCAGTTTTTGGTACCCGTCTTTGCCGTAATCCTCGGCTAAATCCTGGAAGGGGTCTAGAACTTTTTATTAATTTGTGCTCGAGTTGTTTTTTTTTTCCCACCTAGTGATTTAATACTGTCGGTTTTTTCGTCCAAGCCGGCGAAGGAGTAGACAATGTGGGTGCACAATGTAGGGTCTAGGTGCTCAATAGTGAAAGAACCTCTTCCTAGTCTATAAACCGACCATGTCCCTAAATAACAAACGACGACTTTCCCATGGCTCGGACCTGAAGCAGATTTAAATTACTTTTGTTTACTTCCTAGAGGTAACGCTTGAGTAGCATTTTTTTGTACAGCCTTTCGCTCTAGTTTCATCACTTGTTGCTCATCAAAGCTTAAAATGAAGAGAGGGTGAACTTCCCTCTTCACTAAACCATTCAACTGTTCAGAAAATAAACAGAAAACTAATTGAATTTCGCTCGACAATGCAGATTTTATTGTAGGATGAGTCACGGTGACATTTGTTTAATTGGATCGGAGCTTTTTTGTTAACCGCAACAAATTCTATGTAATTTTATTTAAATTAGAAAAGCGTAAAAATTTTGCGAGGGATTGGAGGAAATTTCTCTAATCTTAATTTGATAAATTATCTCACGCATCATTGAGCCAGTTATTAAAATAAAAAGGATCCAACAATTTGAGGCGACTTTCGTAAAAAAACGAAATTGAAATTCGACTGAGTACTGAAAAAAATAAATAAATTTAAACCTAAGTAGCAATTAACAAATTAATGCAATGCATGCCGATATTGAGGTCTTCGTAATAATTTATACATTTTGAAGGTTTCAGCGAAATATCAACGTTTCACCTTACGGTTTTCATTTAACTGTTGTGTCACATAAAAATTCTTATTAACATACATATTACTTTATATCATAAAATAGTTTAATAATAATTAAGGTGGTCAGAAAAACAATCAACAGTCATTAACTCATTAAAAATAAATTGTGTTAGGTTCCTTACCAGTAAGGGCGCTAATTCCATCCATAAAAGCTACTACGAAAATCCCAAAAACTGCACAAACATTTTTTAGTGATACCATCTTGATATTCTCACAACTTTTATATAAATGAGAGATGAACTTTACGTTTCTTGTAACAATAATATTATAGTTAGAATGGCAAGGTGGCAGCTTTCTCTTTTGCTCTCACGTATTTGATACTTTTGAGAGTGAGAAAGATACAATAATGTGTCCAGTTTGGGGGTTACTCGCTGACTATAACTACACCTTTCACTCAAAAGCCGCACCTCGCGACAAGAAGTAGCGTTTTCTCTGTCTTACTTATATCTCTTCACGTATGGGTTTGAAATAAAACCAGTTCAACTTTTTATATTTTTATTAAATGTGATTATATAATTTACAAAAATAAGTTAATCAGAATCTGAACTTGAATCATCTTTTTTCTTGGGATTATCCTCACGGTTGAGTCGTGCTATGAGTTTGCGGGCGGGATTAAAGACGCCACTGGTTTGGGTGTTGCAGACGAAACACCTTGTCGTCTTTTTGTACCTCTCTAGGGCACACTTCTCACAAAAGTAGTGCTTGCACCTTAAAAAAATTAAAGAAATAAATACAAAAAACAGAAATATGCCTCTTACTTTGTGACAATGGGATCGGTGAAACTATTCCTGCAAACGACACATTTAAACGGCAAATCCTCTTCGTCTGAGTCAATTTCGTATTGTTTATCTTCGTCGCTTTCTTGCCCATATTTGCCTTCCGCCCATTCTCTTTCGAGTTGCCAGCCGTGTTTGTAGTCACTTCTGTCGTGCAGAAATTTACAACTGTCCCCAAAACCGCAAAAACCTGTTTCTTTGTAGTCCTTGCAAATGTCGGGTTGGTAATCCCATCTCACAGTGGCACGCAAGTTTGCGGGGGCTCTGATTGGGCCTTTTCTGACCATTCCCGAGCTGGCATTTCCTGCTGCAGTGTCTTTGGGTTTGTAGTACTGCGCGTAGTTGTTGATGCCTCTGTAGACTTTATCGTCCTCTTTGCCCTCAAGATTTTTGTTAATTTCAAGCCGTTTTTCGAAAATGGCCTGAGCGTCTCTATCGCGCTCAGTTTCAATTTCCTTTAAAACAATAAAGTCATTATTTAATCTTTAAATGAGTTGCTGAATGACTTACAAGAATTGCCGTGGCCCCTTGATCAGTTGGTCCTTCGGACATAGCGGATCGTTTGGATTTGTAACTGACCATAATTTCATCCTCACTGCTTGAATAATTTTGTTGTTCATTTTCCTTTTGTTTAGCTTTGCTAGTGGTTTGGAAGTTGGGGTTTGCCTTTTTTCGACGCCGATTTGCACGTTTTACGGTCGATTCGTCTTCACTGTTGGATTTTTCTGAAGAAATGGTAAACAAACATAACCTTTAAATTAACAAAAACTTAGTCTATATAAAGAATTAAAGTTAATTCCCAGATTTTGAATATTTACCTTCTTCCGAACTGGATTTCTGACGTTTTCGTGCCCCTTTATTTTTTATATTCCGCTTTTTAAATATAAAAGTGCAACTTTCATCAACTCCCGTTTTAACGTCACGCGGATCATCCATTTTTTCCATGATGACAAGTGTGACGTTTGACAGTTGTCACCAGAATAAACAACAATTACTAAAGATTTTTAGAATGCAATAATCTTTTTTTTTTGTTTAATATTTTTTGCTTAACATTAATTGTACTTGTGTTATTACTTTCATGATAATAGATTTAAAATTAATTAATTAAATCTTTAAAAAAAATTGAATTAGGGTTGTTAGTTTTGCAACTTTGGCCGTTGGCAGCAATCGTTCACGGTTTTTGATTGGCTAAATTTAAAAGTGAGTTGACGTTTGGCATCCATCTGCATCGTAACGAATTTTCTACAAATCAATTAAAGTAGAATTAGGATAATTTATTAGTGAACGTGGTAAAAATGGCCCAAAATTTCAATCCGTTTGTGGAGCAACTTCCTGAGAACGTAAAACAGGCCGAAAGTTCGAAAAAAGTATCAAACGATAATCACGCTGTGACAAAAAGGTGAGCAAGAAGTAAAATCTAAATTCGGGTTCTAATCTTTTGTCTTTAATTCCAGATTACACAAAGAGCTTATGACGTTGATGATGTCTGAAGACAAGAGCATCTCGGCATTTCCCGAAGGTGACAACCTATTCAAGTGGGTAGGTACTATAATGGGGCCCAAAGACACGGTTTATGAAAATCTGAAATATAAACTAAGTTTACAATTCCCCAACTCGTACCCTTACACAGCCCCTGTAGTCAAATTCATCACACCTTGTTTTCACCCCAATGTGGACACAAGTGGTAACATCTGCTTAGATATTTTAAAAGAGAAGTGGTCAGCTCTTTACGACGTTAGAACAATTTTGTTATCAATTCAAGCCTTATTAGGTGAACCAAACACTAGGAGTCCATTAAATACGACGGCCGCGGATAAGTGGAAGAAAAAAGAAGAGTACAAAAAACTTGTGTTAGAGTCATACAAGGAAGTCTAGGTTTGATCTCATTAGCAAAAATTTCAGTTATTTAAGATGTCATTGTGTAATAATAGACTGCATATTCATATTGTGTTATATAATTTTTACTATTTCTCGTGTGTTATGACTTGAATAAAAAAGATCAGTTTAACTGCTTTTCAATCATTTATTTACATAAATAAATATTTGGCTTAGTGAATAATTCATAAATAATATAAAAATTACGTTATCACGACTAGGATTTCACGATAATTAAAGTAAAAAATAAAACAATTGTGGTTACAGCCAATACGAGGATAGCACACATTTTTCGATTTTTTCTCTGGTAAGCGTCTGCCTTTTGTAATTGTTTAAAACCTTCATAGACTTGAATTTGCGTCTGTTCAACGTTGTAATCAATCCTGTCTAGAACAGTCCCCTGGTCCGCAACCATTTGACTGAGGTCTTTAAAAATTTCATTCAAGTCTACAATTGACTTAACAATCGCGTTCACTTCTTGTTCCCGTTCTTGCGCAAATCTGGTGTTTTCTTCCTCTAGCAACAATAGTTGCTGCTGACTCATCTGTTTCGAGTTCACAAAATAGGTGTCAATATCATCAACCTCCCTGTTGTACAAATCCTCGTCTTCCAGTTGATTATCAAAATAAATTTTTGCGCGGTCCTCTCGCGACTGAATTTGTCGCAAATAATTATTCTGCGTAGACCTAAACATTGTGGATAACTCCTGGAGTGCGCTTGCCAAAGAGTGATAAACATTAATGGTAAGTCTCTGTTCTTTCATCGGCCCTAAAATTGAAAACTCAAACAACGCACGCACTAATCAAATTATCACCTTCGGAAGAGTGGCTTTTAATAATCTGCACTAATCTATGGGTTTCATTAAACATCCTCGTTATCTCTTGCGTGCAATTCTCAATCGCAATCTCGTCAGTGGGGCTTTCGTCAAAAGTAGGCCTGTTTAAAAGCCGCGAATGCAACATTTTCAGTTCGTTAATCTTCGCTTTGAGTTTTGGTAGAATCATTTGGGCTTTTTCCAAATAGTCGATCCACATGGGGGGCATTCGGTTGTCGTTGCGGTCCCCCAAACCCTCCTCCATGTCGTTGAGGGACACCAAGTGCATTCTTTCCGAGTTGTCCTAAAGTTTTGGGTATTTAAAAGATCAATGTTAAAGTGCTAATTACCTGGTCGGGGTAGATGTGACGACTGCGGACAGCATTATTTCGCATTAGCAAGAAAACGTCAGTTAGACTTCGAGACGCCATGGGTGCGTTTTCAAAAACCGAATTAGAACAGAAACATTTTGATAATTTTTATCACCACCTGTCAAATGACATCTGTTATCGTTTGTGAGGTTATGTTTACACTGTTTTTAACAATGAATAAATAAATACATTGAGAGGGAGTTTCAAAGAAGTGTTTTTAAACAACTCAGTTAATGTTTTATAGTGTTTGGTTGTGTAATAAGAAGTAGGTAATTAAATAAATTTATTCGTGATTGTGTACTGGCGTTAGAAAAATTACGTCAAGGGCTAAATTCCCTATGACTAGAAAAGGAATTTTTGACGTTTGGTTTTCAATTTTTTCACATGTTATTTAAGAGATGAGGGGTTAAAGGACAAAGAAGTGATGATTCATCTGTTTGGGACAAACAATGGATTATAAAGTTTGGCTAATTGGTATGTATGCCAAAATTGTAATATTTTCACAGCGATAACTTTTGTCAATATTAGCTTTCCAGTGAACAAGGAGCTCAACCACCAGTGTGATGTTCATTGTCTCGAAGAAGAGTTATTCAACCGTGAATAATGACAATCATTTATCAATCGAAAATGTACGCCCCAACGACCGATGTAGTGGACCAGCTGCCCTCAGTGGATCGGGTGACCAACTGGGACATTGCTGGTTTTGTCATATCTATAATAAGCCACATACTGGATGTGATTTTTGACTGCAACATTGCGTATCGATATTACGTCCATCAACAATTTGCCTATTTTTTTACCACTCTGGGATTTATACTCGTCCCAGCTTTTGTAAATACTGTCTTCAGTATAAGAATGTACATGCTAGATAAAGATTGTGATAGGAGCGCGACTCTGACTGATAAATTTACCAAAAGGAGATTATGCTGTTTTGCTGTATTGATATTTCAATTAGCGCCAGTCTTGAGGTATTTTGATGCCTTGCAATACGCCATCAAGTCTAAGAAAGCTGAAAAGAACAAGGACCAGGAGAATCAGCGCAAGTACTACGAACTTATGGTCAAGGAAGACTCGGACGTCGCCCTGTTGCGGGTCCTTGAATGCTTCCTCGAAGCAGCCCCCCAACAAATCTTACAACTCGCAATTATTTTCAATACAAACAGTAACGATAAGGACAGCTTAGACAACAGTGACACGTTTACCTGTAAGTTGGAAATGTGCACAAACAAAATAATCAATTTTTTTCTAGTGGTCCACCAATTGTTATCAATCGGTAGTTCATTTGTTAGTATGGCGTGGTCAATGGCCGCTTATCAGAGACTACTACGTGTGTCTCTCAAAAACAAAAACAACATCTCATGGCCAGGGACACTAGTTCAATTCATGTGGCACTTCCTAGTCACTGGTAATTTGTCATTTGATTATTTCCTTAGGGTTTTAATCGTTTTGTTTTAGTCTCACGGATCTTGTGCATCAGTGTGATAGCATCTAAATACTTGGTGCCCACAATTCTGGTGACTGTACTCCATTGGTTCGTGATGACTTTTTGGCTTTCTTGTACGAACCAAAAAAACAATTTTTGTAAGCACAACAAAGTCTATGACATGTTTTTTTACTCAATTTTTGGTACTGTGTATATTTTTACACCAGTTACGTTGGTTGAAGGGCCGACTTTTTTGAAATATGTTTTCTTTTACGTCGTGCTGTTTGTAGAAAATACGATAGCTAATGTTGTGTGGTACTGCAATGCTGATACTACCCTCCAGAAACAGATTTATTACACACCTATTGTGTATTTGAATGTTATCCCGTTTTTTGCCGGGCTGATATTCATGTTGCTGTATTATAAAGTCTTCCATCCTAGCACAGGGTATCACAGGACGCAAGCAGTCCTTCCTAGTTAATCGTCAAAGATCAAAGAGGGAGTAGGCGAATTATTTCTGCAGTGACTTGATCTCTAATGTACGTACTCAATGAATCCTCTTTGATTTTTAGTTACAATTTTATTAACAATGTGATGTTTAATTTATTGTATTAGTAGAAATGTGTGTCTTAGTAGGTAGGTCAACTAGTTCTATTATCACATTTTCTCCTACCGATTGATTGTTGGTGCAATATTTGGTCCAGATTTTGAGATTAATATAGTTTTATGCACAATTGTGGCGAGTGGAACTGAGCTCCATGACTTTAACAAGTTGTAACCTTACATAAAACCAGTGCCTTAATTTATACTTAACTTATTTGAAAATAAAAACTTTTAATTTACTATTTCTTAAGTCGCTATATACACTTTGTAAAAATAAATTAATAAATGGGCCCATCATCCAAATTATCATCTTCATCTTCATAATCTTCACCATTGTCGAAGTAATTGTTTGCGTAATCCGTGCCATCATCCATTTCTTCATCTTGTTCCTCTTCAACAATCTCTTCATCTTCAACATTTTCCTCTTCCTCATCGTCCTTGGCTGCTTTACTGTCATCCTTCTCCTCCAGTTGCTCCAACTGTTTAAGCTTTTGCTGTACATCGACGTTTTTATCGGCTTTTTTATTCATTCTCTTGGCCAAAACTTTGGGTCTGAGTTCTGAGGGGAATAATTTCCAGTCATATTTCTCTTTCACGCTTGGCAACTGTGCCACCAATTTGTCAATTTCCTGTTCAGGTTGTTTATTTTTATCGTGAGGCAGTTTTAAATACGATGGTGACAGCTGCATGTGATCTATTAAGTCCTGTTTTAAAATTAACAGATAATCTGTTTCTACAGATGGCTGCAACAAATTACATCACAACCTATTTAAAAAAAGACAAAGTCTCACGTTTAGAGGCACGGGGTGTCGGTCTAGTAGCGGATAAAGAGGGGGCGGTTGCGTGACAGGTCCTGGTAAAACCTCATTACCAACAATTCCCATGGCATTCAACTGCTCCCTGTTGAATGATTTGCTAATGCCCCCGCGGCCACGGCCCCCTCGCCCGCCTCTACCGCTCATTTTTATTTAGTCACTTCTAATTTTTTCAAATCTTCTGTTAGTTTTTTGACTTCATTCTGCTCCTCCTGGAACGTCTCCTACAATTTTTTGTGCTAGTCCTCCAAGCTTTTGACATTGATTTTTTACCTGGTCGTAAATTACTTTAACTACCAAGGAACAACTCGGACAGGTTGCTACTTCTTCGCCCGCAAGCAATTCTTCCTTAAAATTGAAAAATTATTATTTTGAGGTTATGTTATAGTCACTCACTTTTGATATTTGAAATCTGTCACCGCATGGGCAAGGGTAATAGTAAATTTCCTCTTCTTCGTCGTATTCGAAATCTTCGATTTCTATTTCGTCGTGAAAAACAGTCATTACTTAATCGATTTGTGATTTAATTTTGGTTCCATGTGATAGATTGAGGTTATGTGCAGGATGACAAGTGTCAAGTAACGATTAATTTTTTTGGTCTTAAACAAATTGAAAAAATTTAAAGAAAAACTGCCAATCTGTTCAAAGCATTTAATTTTTATTTCTTTTTTTAATATTTAACATTTTATCAAAAAAATGATCCTCCCCGGCGGGGAATCGAACCCCGGTCTCCCGCGTGACAGGCGGGGATACTGACCACTATACTACCGAGGATTGATATCATAATTTGCTGAAGCTAAAGTCTTAAGTCGGGTATGCACAATTTTTATAATAATTATTTTCAGAAATGGAAAGATATTTTTTGATAATTATAAATAAATAATATTAATATCATAATTGTTCATCAATACAATAATTATTTTAGTAGTTTTATAACTTTGTAAGTCGTTCGTAAGATGGCGTTAACAGTACTCTTCGCGCATGCTACTAGTCCTCATTGATACAAGTAGAAATTCTAGAGTCAAGTTTATCAAGATCATACTTCACAGGATCATTTCTGTAGTATATCTTCACATACTCTACACTCAAACGTAGAGTTGACGCAACCACGATGATGAGTTACAGCTCTAACTCCTGAGCGTGAGGCAGACTGCTCTGGATATTTGTCAATATCCTGAGTCATGTCATCGATGATCGTTCACTTGTTCTATTTATGGAGCAAGCATGGGGTAGGAGCAGTCCGAGTGGTTGCATTTTTTTATCAAATTAAAGAGTAAATAGCACAGATTAATCTAATATAATCTGTGAATAGATTATAAAAATAAATTGGGTTTCTCAAGATCTCAAGAAGACTCCCTTGCATACTGTTTTTTTTTATTTCATCGTCACTATGTGTTAAATTTTGTTGTAACGCCTTTGCTTTTATTATTATTGGGGATTGAGCGTGGAATGGTAACGCATCTGATTTTGACAAGTCTGCTGCTGCTCGTTAATCATGTTTAATTTCAGCCGTTGATTTTATGTTTAGAACAGGCCAAAAGTCAAACGTTGGGTTAAAATATAACCAAACTGAGTAGTTTCAGAATGCATCGTCATTAAGCCTTTTAAAATTAATTGAAATCCGATAACGCTGAAACTTTTTAAGTGATTTGGGTCTAGTGGGATTTGTTTGTGTTAATACAGGACTGAAAAAAAGTGCAAAACAATACAAAATTATAATAGTTTCATGAGGTAGAGACATTGTAAAATAATAAGTGTTTTTGATATCTCTGTTATAGAATTTGCAATTTATTCCATATTTCGTTTTATTTGTTACACGTTAAGGCTTCATTTCGCTGTAGTTCACAAATACAAAATTATAATACAGACTTGCGTAATTATCAAATGCAATAAGTTTTTATAAATTTATTATTATAATTATTAAATAAATTACAAGCATGACATAATTATTTCGATCAAAAAATTTTTGATATAAAATTACCTAATAAATAATAATCTACATACAACTATCATTTTTTTGAATAATAAGATGCGAATTGTGTTCACTACAAAAAAAAGTGAAAAAAATCGATAGGTGCGATTTTGTATTACATGGTTAAAAATACTTTTCTATCAAATTTTTTTAGTTATTTTAGGCATGATTTCTTGTCATTGAGTTTATCCAAACTTAAATTAAGTACAAACGCCGTTGTTAATCTTTGAGTTACATAAGCATTTTACAAAATCGATCGCAATGATTTGTTCTTTTTTTCGATTTGGAGCTGAATTCTTTGTGCTAACAAGCTGTCCATTTAGGCGTCCAATGCAGAGCGAAGTGATAAACGCCCCAGAAACAGTTTTGTTTAAAATCGATTGCCTAAACAAGATTAATTACGACAGTCTTCGAAGGGGGCAGGAGTGCGAAACGTAACCCCATCTGTCAATCACCATCTTCGAGCAAAGTAACAATTCTCCGCACCGCAAAGTAATGGTCAGAACTACCATACAATTCACTCCACTAACTAATTATGTTTTAATTTGACGCCGATCATTTGTATTCTGGTGTATTACTGGTTGCAGCAATACCAACAAATATAAATTTCCAAATTGCAACATTTCCAGTTTATTAAGCGCCGTAAAAATGCCTTGGCCAGATTCGGTTTTAATTTGGTTTCTTGAACGAGGGAGGAAACTGATTTAATTCGTATAAAAGAAAAAAGTCATGTAATCGGATTGTGACTAAACGACTTAACTGGGTTTGTGCTAATTGAAAAATAATTGTATTTCGGGATTTCGTCCGTTTTACCTATTGACAGAATCTTAATAAAAAATACTTTCGTGAAAACGGGTTTTATAATAATTAATGTGGGTGCTAATGGATTCCGAAGTTGTTGCTAAGCCGATCGAACTACCGTTTATAATTCGTTTGTGGTATTTTACACCACTTTCACTCATTATCAATTTCAATAAAGAAGCACTGACCTACGCTCACATACGCAAATTCGTGTTCCTGTAGTCTAGAAAGTGTGAAAATGTCCACATTGTCTGCTCCCCGCAATGTATTGATCGCTTTTATCACAAGAAAAAAACATCAACAAATTGCAAATGCTTTTGTTCATGTGAATATTTTTTATTTGTCTGTCCTCCAATGAATATTCCATTAAATTCAATAAAACAAAACTACCAGACTATAAATGGGAAATTAAAATTTATTTTATCTCGTACCATGGTGTGTTTTGAGGAGAATACGGAAAAATTATCAATAAGTGAACGGTGCAAGAAATTTATGTGTTATGGTTTCTTCGTTAATATTTACGGAGAAAAGTGGGAAAGCCGGTAAATTTTTAACAAGTTTGTAATCGTTTATAAATAACTGAGTCTTGGCGTAAAAGGAAAACCAAGAAACTATTGTCTACGACTTCGACGTAGCTTCCGTAACAGATAACATCTTTGCTTTGATTATTTATACTCTTTGCGGTTTTATTTTATCGATTTTCGGGGAAATTCTGCGTGAAATGCAACGAAATTACGGAATTGGGATTTACCGGAAATTTCATACATTCGTCATGTGGGTACCTATAGAGGTTAATTACAATTATCTTGATAATTATAATATTTGAAATACATTGCTATTTTTAGACCGCAGGCAAATCAATTATACAGACTGGATTATAAAAAACACCCCAAGCCATTACCGCATTATTTTTAAAGATATAACAATACTTTTTTATCAAAGTTGAACAATTAATTCTGTGCAATTTTTTGGGAGGGACACTTGATCAATGTAAACAGCTGACAATAAACTGTGCAACTTTGTTCCAAGAAGAATAGTTATATCTTTAAAAATAATGGAGTTATGGCTTGAAGCATTTTATAATCCAGCTTGTATTATTTCTGGAAAAATAGTATAAAAACTATTGAGGGTTTCTAATTACATATTATACGACTTGTTTTTGGTAAATGCTATTGTTATATGCTATTGTTTTTGCAGTTATGAGTTGTTTATTGAGTAGGTACTTATCAAAATAATTATGAGTCAAATGAAAAAATATTTAGGACCTGTAATATGTTAAAATTATGTGTATTAATTTTTTACAAAAATGACTACAATGAGTAATAAAATTCAAATTGATATTTAATATACTATTGCATTATTATGTATTATACAAGGTTATGATAAAATTACGCACAAAATTTATAAAACCTAGTTTATTTTTGAAAGAAATGTAAAAATATGTCAAAAAGTTGTTTTAATTTAAAATAAATTACGTCAATTTGTCAAAGCTATGAAATCATTAAAATTTTTTCAGACAAGAACAACCAAGAACAAATATTTTTTACTTATGATTTTGTAATCATTCGATAGTCTATTTTCTAGAAAAATAAAAAAAATAAAAACTAGAAAAGTAATACAAAACAACATAAACTAAAAGTAGTAACTACTACTTATTTATTCGACGAGTTTGAGTGTAAATCGGACGGATTATCTCACCGAGTGGGTTATTAAACCACGAGGTGGAATAAAGCGTCCGATTTACACTCAAACGAGTTGAATACAACATTTTATTCTTTGAATTAGACTCAATAAGGCTTAAAGTTGCTTTAAATCTGTTAAAAATAATCTGACGTTTCGTATTGAGAAATGCCAAACAGTTGTCAAAACTTCCTTACTCAGGAGAAAAACCGTAAATTTTAACAGTGTCGAAGAATAAAACAATATTATTTAAAGAAAGGATTTAATAAAATAAATTAACTTTTTGACATATGTATTTTTTCATTTCTTTCAAAAATAACTGTGGGTTTTATGAATTTTGTGCATTATTTTAATTCATTCATAATCTTGTACGTATTTAGTTTAAGTATATTATTACTATTAGAGTTGTCTATTTATATAAAATTGTCGGTTTTGTTTTTTTAAGACTAGTTCAGTGAAAGTATAATTTATCGATGAAGGTAAATAATCTGGATTTTTTTTGTCTAAAAATCCCAATGGAAAAATCACAGTTTGTCAGTACAAAAATGGATTCAATATTAAACAAAATAGAGATTTGTATTTAAGCTTTGCATTAATTTAACGTAGAATAATGTTCTAGGACAAGCTACAAGAGTAGACACGACGACAGGATATTGTGTAAAATGTTATCCAAACATCTTGATTGGATGCATTTACGGTCAAGGTTTATTAGACTTGTGTTGGTCTTCTAAATTTAATGAAAACAATTAAAGAAATTCTATGTCAGGTTTTATCTGAGAGCAGTTTCTAAGATTATAACGAATTAGGCGTAAATTAGAGAAACGTCTTTTCCCTTATTTAAATTGGGCTTTTCCATTACTTTGCCTTTTCGTAGATTTGTTTATAACTAAGTAATTTAACACATTTGCAACCTTCTTTCAACTACAACTGCTAATTTTGTGAAAATAAATTTTCGGAATTGGAGAAATTTGTTTATTTGCCGGAAAATCGAATAAATTAATCTTTGGATTAATAACTCAGTTCATTAACTTTTTTTAAATTAAATTTACTGAACTTCGTAGGAGTGAAATTACATAATCGTACTTGTACTAGTAATGACAACAAAAATAATTCTGACCCAGTTTTTGTCTGTTTATCCCCTTCTGCCCAAGTCCACTGAACCCTCCATTCTAGAATTTCGATCGTTAGACGGATTAGGCCATCACCATGAGCGGCGACTTCTTGTGGGCCGATGTTTTGCTTATTAGAAACGTGGATTGTTTGCGATAATCGAAGGGAAAACTGAAAAGCTACGCTCCGAAAAAAATTTCTTTATTTAATAATTTGGTTACAGAGTTCTCTTTCTAAACATGAAATTTTTTGTTTCTTTTTTCAAAAACGTGCCGTCTATGGTGTCTCTTTCATGATTTCACCTGTGCACCACGTGTGACGTCCCTGCTTCATGGCTCTTTAAATACCGGCAATACCACTCTTCAGACGCCCAGTTTTATCAGAGAAATCGTCGAACTTGTCTCATAAAAATGTATCACAAAATGTTAGTTTTTGTCATCCTCGTTACAGTTTTCAACATTGTCTGCGGTATGCCGACAGGTAAGTTAATATTTTAGCCATACGATGTTGTATCAAAGTTTGGTTCGTTTTTTCAGAAACTCAAAACGCTTCAGTAATGTGCAAACTCCCTGAGGCTCGAGGACATTGTAGGGCGCTTTTGCCGCGATGGAGATACGATCCTGCGACAGGGAAATGTCACGAATTCAAATTTGGGGGATGTGACGGCAACGGAAATAATTTCATGACGTACAAAGCTTGTATGAGTGTTTGTGCAGGTAAATGATTTCGGCGAAATAGTCTTGTTTACGAGATTGGTGTTTTGCAGGGGTTTAAGGAGGAATTTTACACGATTTTGTGATGCAGTATTAGGAGTTTTTGGTGTTCATGTGTTCTTTTAATTTAGCTTAGTTTATTTATTGTGATAGGAGTGCACGATTATTTTATACAATGGAATTTTTTACAAATAAAAATTAATATAACGCAAAATAATGGTTTTATTGAAACACCTACACGGTGAATAAAAAGTAAAGTAACTACTTTACGAAAAAAATTATTAGTATAGCGTAAAGTACAATTAAAATGTGACCGTTTATCAAGAATAACATTTTTTGAAATTTGTTTTAGTTTTCGAGTTTAAAAAAAAATATAGCAACTTACTGTTACAATTTTTTTTTAATTTTAATTTTGTCTCATATTTTTAAAATGCTGCGAATACGGTTAAAGGTACAAGAAAAATATAAAAAAGGAAGTTGTAGAGAATAAAATTTTCAAGAAAAAAAATCTGCGAGAGATACTTCTATCTTCAATGGTTTAGGTCCTAAAGACGTTCAAAAACGAATGAATACGTGTCATTTTTACCGGTGGTCAAGAGACAAAAAATTAATTTAGAACTAAACGGTTGAAGATAGAGATATGGTCTCGGGGAATTTTTTGTAGGAAATTTAATTCTCTACTTTGTTCCCTACACTTTTTTTGTATCTTCAACTGTATTCGGAGCGTTCTCAAAAATATCGAAAACAGTATTAAAAAAATTATAAACAATTATCAGTTTGCATTCCGTCCAATATTTTTGAGAACGCTGCGAATATGGTTAAAGCTACAAAAAAGTGTAAGAAACAAAATTGTAGAGAATAAAATTTGCTACAAAAAAGTCCGCCAGACAATATTTCTATCTTCAACGGTAAATTGCTTTAAAGCGTTTCTCTGGCACTGAATCACCAGTAAAAATGAAACGAATCCGTCGCTTGAGCGGCTTTGAACGTCTTTAAGGCCTAAACCATTAAAGATAGTGGTATGGTCTCGCAAATTTTTTACTAGAAAATTTTATTCTCTACAACTTTCTTTCTTACATTTTTCTTGTATCTTCGTACCGTATTCATAGCATTTTGAAAAACATGAAACGGAGCTCAGATTTTAGATTTAATTTTTTTTTACATATTTTTCGTGAAAAATGTAGTCGTTCGTTTTTCACAGCTTATTAAAAATATAAAGCTCAACATTTTTGCATTTTTTTCCAAGCAATTAGTGCACTGATTGAGAATTTAAACGCTCTAAGCGCCCTCATTTTTACTCCGCCGTATTACTTTTTTTGGGTCCAAAAAATCGAGCAATTTTGTATCTCGTTTCGTCTCCTACTCGTAGTTTGTAGTTCTCCGTAACTATAAACTAAAAATGACTTCTAATTAAATGATAGTTATTTATTCGACGAGTTTGAGTGTAAATCGGAAGGATTATTTCATCGAGTGGATTATTAAACCACGACCGTAACGAGTGGTTTATCATCCACGAGGTGGAATAAAGCGTCCGATTTACACTCAAACGAGTTGAATACAACATTTTATTTCGAATTAGACTCAATAAGGCTTAAATTTGCTTTAAATCTGTTAAAAATAATCTGACGTTTCGTAGTGAGAAATGCCAAACAGTTGTCAAAACTTCCTTACACGGGAGAAAATTATTTTTTAACCAATCGTTTTTTTTATATAAATTCTTAAAGTTAAGTTCGTGACGAAGTTCTTCGTGATGAGCTCGGAATGCAACATTAATAATTTAATTAAAAAAATCTACTGGTTAAAAAATAATTTAATTTAATTAGAAGTCATTTTTAGATCATTGTCTTTAATTAAAAAAAAATCTAACACTAAGTTGCTATTAAAATTTTTTTTTTGCAAAACTCGGAACCTAAAAGAAATTTCGAAAAATGTTATTCTTGATAAACAGTCACATTTTACGCTACAGTAAGTATTTTATTTGTAAAGTGGTTAGTTTACGAAAAAACGCTTGTATTAAGTTTTGCCATTTGAAACAATTGGTATCAGTGCCCGTTATCTGGTGGAAATAATAATTAAAAAGAGTTTTAATTAAAAATACCGCCGCTTTATGGTCTTGATGAGTATTTTAAGTGTGCACATACCTACATAAGCCAAAGATAATAACTTGATATTTTTAAGTGTTAAAATTACATGTGTCCAATTCAAATATTTGCAAAGGATATTGCAACAACGACTGTTGTATAATTTTTTCGGTTAGTGTGAAGACTAGTAATTTAAAAGTTGAAATCCATATGTTTACTGGTCACGTACTATTTGTTTAATACAAGTTTAAACATAGAATGTAACTGATCATTATGTTATTCCAAGTTTGCATGGGTTGGGCACCATACATTTTGTAATAAAGTTTGGAATAAAAATACTCGTCACTCTTATGTAAGCGGTTTAGTTAAATATTAACACAAATATGTCCTAGACAAACAGTCACGGTCCTTGGTAAATAGCTTATTGGCCATATATCTTAACGTCAAATAAGTGTAAGGCAATTCTGCTATCTCGCACATAAATTTTCACCTAGATATTTTGATACATCAATAATAATAGATAACCCGGGCCCTCGGGACTGCACCATCAGGTTACTCGGCAGTCCTTCCTGGTCCTTTGTACACACCGGCAAGGTAACCCTTTTACTGGCAAATCTCCTAGCCGTTTTGCGATTATTCCGATCCTGACTAATCACCAAAGTGTTGGTGTCCAGCTTTCATTACTAGACGATCCATCACGAGATGGTGTTGAAGTCCGGCGGATGTATTCTGTCTGTCAGATGCAGGACAAAATAGATGTGCATTTGCACCACCACCGATACATGTAAATACATATTAATAACAGCAGATTAATGAGCGCCGCCAATGCTAATAGCCTGTTAATTAAGACCCATCAAATTATGAATGCCGGGATGTGCAATCATCCCTCCGTTATATGCTAATTCATTTTTGATGGAAGCGTCAATTAACGTTTGACAGTTGTAAACGCGTTAAATTGGAGGTAAAAAACGCAAAGGAGAACTCCATGGAACATACATTCAAAGTTTTAAAAAGTCCAACAATTCGGCCTTTTTTAGTTAAAATTCAATTTGAACCACAAATTTTATTGGTAATTAAAATGATGGAAATTAGACAAGCGTTTGTTGATTTTTAGATTTTTACTTAGTTCTTAGTCCAACAATTCGGCCTTTTTTAGTTAAAATTCAATTTGAACCACAAATTTTATTGGTAATTAAAATGATGGAAATTAGACAAGCGTTTGTTGATTTTTAGATTTTTACTTAGTTCTTAGTTTTTTTTTTGTGAATTCTGTTATTGAATTTTATACAGTGAATCCATAATTTTATGTCCATTACGTGTGAGATTGATCTTTTATAGCTCCTTTCTTTACCATTTAGAAAAAAAAAAATTTTGTACGCTAAGCCATCGACATTATCTTAATTTTTTTGCAAATAAAAAAATTACAATGATAAATAAAGTCTGTAGTAAATACAAATCAAATCAAAGTCCAAGCGACAAGAGTATAATTCAGTATGAGTGGAAAAAGGTATTATTTATTGCAACCATTCAAGAAAGACACGATTTACACCCTCTTCAGAAAGATTATACTAAATTACTAAAAATATCTGATACAATTACATTACTACCTAATCATAATATTATTTCGTAATAATATGGTTTTCCATTTTACATAATTTTAAATTTCGTTGTTCAATGTGTAATTTTGTACGTTTAGTAAAAAACGAAATCTGCTGGTTTCTCACTTTTTCAAGTCTTTTGTTTGATGAAATGAATTTATTTTTTCTAACACTGTTGTATCATGAGCACAAAAAGAGGTAGCTAGTATCAGAAAATCCTAATCCATTCATTCAAGAATACACAGGTACTATTTTACTACCTAATTCGAGTTTATGTAAGTAGTATGAAGTATAATTTTTGTTTATTGTTCTCTGCCAATATTAGGAAATGCCGGCCAGATAGCTCCTGAACTAGCTTTCTTTTTTTTCCTTGAATTTTATAATGGAACCTTGGAATTAGGGCTTACAGTTTTATTTATTTTCTTTTTAAATTTTATTTTAGGAGCACTGTTTTTAGAATAAAGTAATCTAGTGACTAATTTATAAAATTATATTTCAATTTTTAGCAAAATTTTCCCCGATTGAAAATATTGCGAACGTAAAACCGTTTTTCCGGATACATTTCACTAATAGTAATTTTTGACAATAGTATGCCGATCAGAGGGTACGAAACTAAATTGAAAAATTTTGCTATATTTTTTTAAATTTGGATTGCTAAATACAGAAAGATAAATAGATGGTAACGCCACAATAATAGTTATAATGCATTGGAATAAACAAAAAATATACTACATTTATAAATTATTATTCCTTTTATTTTGAGATTTTTGCATTTTTAGTATTTTTACAGAAAACTACTAAATTACAGTTTTCAAAAACTATTTACTCTACCGTCCCGTAGATGACAAGTCTCTAGCCAGTTCCAAAATGTACCACCGAAAGAATTTGTCGCTTGTGTACAGACTATGCTCAACGGAAAGTTGTTCAAACAAGTCTTCAAACGATATTTTTTTTAAGAAAAACAGTAAACAAATTGGTTTCTTTACATTGTTACATTTACATTGTTCCTGAATTAAATCAGTACCTTACACACAGTAACATGGAGTTTTTATCTTATTTTGAATATTTGTAACGGATTCCAAAATTTTTATTTTTTTTTATGAAAAAACGTATAGTTTGTATAGTTTAAATTGTATGAAAAAAAAATACAGTAACATAAGTAGGTAATTTTCAATAGGCCAGAAATAACTCAAACTCTTCTGTAGGTAGTTTTTTTTATAAAAAAATAAAATGGTCAAAAATAAAGGTTTTTTTTGAACTACGATAAATTTTTTTATTCAGTATAGTTCAGCAAAGAAATCGTTAAACACGTCTCACAAGTTATTGGTTTCTATTGCGATTGTTGCCATATTTAGATTTTGTCAAAAACAGAGCTCCACAAGAACGTGAAGTAAAGTTTTGATTTAAGCACCATTTTTGAAAAATAAAGTTAAAAACCTCCACTTTGTATTTTTTTAATTAAAATTTCAAATCTGATAGAACAGGAATACAATTTAAATTCAGAATTTTATGATTGGTAATTGATTAGT